AGATGATGCTACCCTAGGGAGGTGACCAATAGGACCCCAGCGACTGGAGATGATGCTACCCTAGGGAGGTGACCAATAGGACCCCAGCGACTGGAGATGCCTTGGGTTTCCGGAAACATATTTCGTCTTCAAACGGGGCAGTAGAGTAGAGCAATAGATCAGCAATAAGTAGAGCAATAGGTCAGCAATAAGTAGAGCAATAGGTCAGCAATAAGTAGAGCAATAGGTCAGCAATAAGTAGAGCAATAGGTCAGCAATAAGTAGAGCAATAGGTCAGCAATAAGTAGAGCAATAGGTCAGCAATAAGTAGAGCAATAGGTCAGCAATAAGTAGAGCAATATGTCAGCAATTTGTGCACGAACGGAACATTGTGTTCTAAAACAACTGTATGCAAGAACTCAGTTTTCTATTCTACAAGAAAAACATTGGCATTCGTGGTGACTGAGGAAAAATCACTACGAAACAATCGCATCTCCACAATCGCATCTCCACAATCGCATCTCCACAATCGCATCTCCACAATCGCATCTTCACAATCGCGCTCCACAATCGCATCTCCACAATCGCATCTCCACAATCGCATCTTCACAATCGCATCTCCACAATCGCATCTCCACAATCGCATCTTCACAATCGCATCTCCACAATCGCATCTTCACAATCGCATCTCCACAATCGCATCTCCACAATCGCATCTTCACAATCGCATCTCCACAATACGCGTCTTGGTTGATTTTGGGCTTTGGCAGAAACACACACACACTTCACACATAAAATAATATAGGCCTATATGGTGGGGTGAGAGATAGAGTGTGCGTGTGAGATTTATAGTATGTTTTGTCATGTTATTATGTTACGTTATGCTATGACTCGTCATTGATTGACTTACAATACTTGACTCAAGTCATGGAATGACTTAAACAGCCTACTCACTGGGGGTTTTGATTGCCTGCTATGGTCCATTGATTGCATACTGGCCTTCAAAATCCCAAACGAGGCGGGCTTGACCTCTACACAAGATACAGGAGAGATAACTCAGCCGATACATCACGGGACTCACCTTGTCTGCTGTTACATTCAATGTCTGTGGCCCGAAATGTGAGGAACTTCTATACCGCCAGACGATGCAATGCAGGGGGGGGGGGGGGGGGTTGGCTGTTTAGGGGACTCACAATCCAACCAAAAATATTTATTTTGCACCTCGATAGAATCGTGATAAAAGATCTACCACAGCAGTGACTCTTGTACCCACACATTGTTGTATTGAAAAAAAAAACAACTACATGAACGTTTTGCGCCGAGATTTATAGCTAATATATAAAGCTCAATTCTGTATGTAAATTTAATTTGTTTGTCGTGGATACTTTGATGGATTTAAGTGTTAGATTATTATAGTGCTCCATGTCTAAATTTAATCTGAGTTAAAAATTATTATTGAAAGTGTTGGGAAATAATTTTCATTTTTCAAACTGATAGTAATAATTGCCGGCATGTTCATTAAACACAATTTTAAAATAATATCATCTTTTACAAAAAATCTAATTATGTCTGAAAATTATTTATATTTAGTCCTTTAGAACTTACTCCCCTTTGATAAATTAGGAAAACACAATTACTTCCCTTTATAAAACATTGCATTAGTGGAAAAGAATTTACTTTTATTACTTGGTTTTGGTGTTGGGAAAAAAAAATAATTACATAATTAGCATATAGCAAATAATTAGCAAATAATTACATAATTACATAATTTTGTAGGTATTTTACGGATAAGCTTGGAGTATTATAATTGTTCATTTGGTTTGGTTTGGCACCTACGTTCGTTTAAAAGAGTGCAAAAGACTATGAATAAGTTGAGGTACTATAGTCGTTTATTAAGCTGAAACAGGCGATTCTGCCCCGGGCTAGACTGTGAGCACTTTGCGTTTATGTTCGCGTTTGTGTTTTCTTTGTGTTTAGGTTGGGTTTGCGTTAGTGGTTGCGTTTTGATTTGGTTCGTTTTTGTTCTTTCTTTTTTCGTTTTCGTTTGTGTTTTTTTTCTTTGGGTTTGTATTTGTGTTTATGGTTGGTTTTGCGTTTGGATTTGGTTTGTTTTCGTTTGCTTTTTCGTTTGTGTTTTTTTCTTTGGGTTTGTGTTTGTGTTTTTGGTTGGTTTTGCGTTTGGATTTGGTTTGTTTTCGTTTGCTTTTTCGTTTTTTTTTCTTTGTGTTCGTATTAGTGTTTGTGGTTGGGTTTGTTGTTAGGTTTTTGTTTTCGTTTGTATTTGTAATTGTGTTAGCGTTATGTTTGCGTTTTGTTATTTTGGTTGGTTGTGGTTTGGGTGGGCAATGCCGGGTTTATGATGATTACTAAACACACAGGTAATGGTCTTTAACAGAAAGGTTTTTCACAGAAGCCAGAGCAGGGCCTGGCCGGGACGGCTAGTATATATATAAATTATGGGGGCCCGACATTTTTTCGTTGGCACCTTTTTTTCTTGTTCCGCCACTGGCGGAAAGATTATTTCAGCCCTAATGTTAATTCTTAATTATTATTTAATCTCTTATGTTAATTTTGTACATATTTAGGTGGGGGGGGGGGTCTTAATTTTGTCTGTTAACTGGTGATGGTTTATTTCTAGCGCTGATCGGATCTATTCAAGCTGGTGGCAGCATGGGTCACATGCGCCACGCCTATGTAGATTTGAACTCTTTTCTAATTGAAAACATTTTCACTTGCATGCAGACGACTGTCAAAGCAACACGGAAATGTGACCTACATAAGGTACACCTGGCTCTGTGTTGACGGGATTTCCCCAGTAGATGTGTGGGCAGAGTGTGCTGGTGCTAAACACAGCTGACTATTTGAAAAAAGAATTTTCAAAATCTCTAACCGGAATATTTGCGCTTGCTATGTTGACAGCCATGTTGACATTAGATGCGTCCACTGTGGCCACTTATTTCTTCATGGGCGGACCCAATGGCGTAGGCAAGGGAGGGGGGGGGGGGTTGAGGGGGGGGGGGGGTTATAACCCCCCCCATGGACTCACACCCCTATATATATATATATATATATATATATATATATATATATATATATATATATATATATATATATATATATATCTATAATATAACGCTGCTGGTAGTGTGTCAGTCCTTCCTTCCGTCATCGCTATAGCTTTTGGAACCATAAAAGTAAACCTTCGCACCACGCAGTGCTTTTCAGTGCACCGCAGTGTCTTATTATAAGTATTAGAGTAGGGTTTGTTTATATAGCGGCATAGAGCTATTTTATAATTGCCACGGTTTTTACTCTTTCGCATAACGTCAAGAAAATATTAAATACACGCAAACTGCTAAAACGTATTAAAAAGATTAATGTCAAATATCATTGTCGTTTAGGCTCCCAGAAAAAGTGGATACATTTTAATAACATAATAACAGCAGGGTAGAAAAATCAAATTAATTTAACTCTTTTCTAATTTTGACAAAGGAGGTAATTTAAAAATACATTAAACTCACGCTAATAAAAAATGTGAATGCAAATATACGTTCGTCATAGAAGGAATTAGTGTTGCAATAATATAATTAGCAAAACGTGAATGCAAATTATTCGGATGTGTAAGAGGAAATTATTGTTAGAAAATTATAATTAGCATGGATTGATAAAAGGCAATCTTTTATTTATTTTATTCACTGAATGTAGGCCATACTATTTATTACTTATAATTTTTAATCAACTATTCAGCACTATTATAGGCGCGTCATCACGTTCATTAGGTGCGCAATGGTTTTAGTTATGAAACTCTTTTGTAAATTTTTAAAATTTAAAGTACTGGAAAAAAAATGCGTGAATGGATAAAGTGAAATATTGTATATATTATAGATACTGCCTATTATTTATACTGTTTTCTAATTATTATTCTATCTTTCGGGTTTTATAGGAGAGGCGTAGCGAAGGGGGGGGGGCATATGTCCCCGGGTGCCGACCTTAGGGGGCGCCAAAGTGGGTTGGAAAAAATTTGCGAGGGGGGTGGTGGTGGAAATCGAAAGTTTTACGGCGGGGGGGGGGGGGGGGGAAGGGGTGCAAATCGAAAGTTTGAGGGGGGTGCAAATCACCGGAAAGGGCGCGATTTGGCGCTACGGGCTAGACTGTGAGCAATATGCCTTTATGATTGCATTTAAATTGTGTTTATGTTATGAGTGTTGTGTTTGTTTGTTCGTTTTTTTTTTGGTTTTTTTTGCGTTCGTTTGTGTTGTGTTTAGTTTTGTTCTGTTGGTACATTTAAAAAAGATTTACCGTGGCGGAGCACGGGATGCAGCTAGTATATATATATATATATATATATATATATATATATATATATACCATTATATATATATGTGTATATATAATATATATATATATATACATTGACTAGACAACATAGTATACATTGACTAGACAACATTGCATACATTGACTAGACAACATTGTATACATTGACTAGACAACATTGCATACATTGACTGTTAGATTGCCGATTGGTTACAGACTAGTGTAGGATCGGATGGTTACAGGGTGATAAAGGGTCGTCCATAAATGACGTCACACTCGTTGGGGGGTGGGAGAGGGGACTCCGTAATTTTGTGACGGTGTTTGATAAGGGGGAGGGGGGGTTCAGATGGTGCGACGTCACACTTTTGCATCATAAAAAAGCAATGTTAGAAAACGAATTTTAGACGTTATTTCGCGTTTTAGAAAACTGTTTTAATAAATAGTAATAGGAATTGATTAACATGCTCTATGTTGACAGAGTTCAGAAAAAACATTGTCTTTTAAGAAAAAATTCATCTGCAATTTTGAGGGGGGGGGGGGTGCAGGCTGAGGTGTGACATCATTTTAAGGATGACCCCTAAGACCCAACAAGCGAGACAGGTTAGACAGTTTCTGGTACAAGATTAGCGGTAAGTCGACGTTTACTGACATTATTTAAATTAGGATTAATCAAATGTAATGGTATTTATTTTTTCCCCTGGAGAGCAAAAAAAAAAAATGGTATAATTCCATTAGCTCACACTTGAGAATATCTTCATGTAACAAATAAAAACTTATGAACTGTGATCTTCGACCCCCAAGGAGGAAATGTATTTTTCAAGTGGCTTTTAAAAATACGAGGTTAAGTTTTTTCCCCAGGAAAGTGAATGTAGAAAATTTGTATTTGTAGCTCAATCGACCGGAAGCGGCCAATCACTTTTTTCATTTCGTCTTCCTGGTATGTTTTTTGAGAATGTCGTTTTCTGTCTTAAAGTTAAAGGTCATCTCTCCCATTTCTCTGTCTTCAAGATCATCTTTCTCATTTCTCTGTCTTCAAGATCATCCTTTCTCATTTCTCTGTCTTAAATGATATCTTTGTCACTGTATTAAAATTTATCTTTCTCATTGGCATATGCCCTATTTCAAAAGTGTTTGATAACTTATTAAATAACTATTATTAACTATCACTATCACTATGTAGCTGTGGCACAATTCCTAAAATGTGAAGCACTGTGAGGTGATTCAAGCCTTTAGCATCAGTGTGTTACACCATCCTTAGAGCAGAGCTTAATTGAAACAGTTGAGTTTCACTCAGATTTGAACTGCAAGTACGATGAGGTGATCTAAACATGACAGTACAGTGGACAAATCATTCTAACCTTCAATCATTCACCATTCTAACCTTCAATCATTCACCATTCTAACCTTCAATCATAAATCATTCTAACCTTCAATCATAAATCATTCTAACTTTCAATCATAAATAATTCTAACCTTCAATCATAAATCATTCTAACCTTCAATCATTCACCATTCTAACCTTCAATCATAAATCATTCTAACCTTAAATCATTCACCATTCCAACTTTCAATCATAAATAATTCTAACCTTCAATCATAAATAATTCAAATGATACTTTTTTTTTAGCTGGACACTTGTTTTATTCAAGTCCATATTAAAAACCATTTTGTTTCACCTCAGCCATGTTTTATTGACTGTCACATTATTTTTGGGACTAGCTAAGTCACATGGCTTGGTCATTGAGTTCTCTAAACAACTTTAGATTTTAGTCTTCATTGATAGAATGACACAACATTTTCTATCCAATTTTTTAAAATTGGACAATATAGGAGCACAACATATATTTAGAACCAAAATATTACAAATATCCAATCTGAGCTCGTCTCAACCTTTTGGTAAAAAACAAGTAATTACAGATATCCAATCTTAGCACACATCTCAACATTTTAAATAATTACAAACATCCGATCTTAGCACACATCTCAACATTTTAAATAATTACAAACATCCGATCTTAGCACACATCTCAACATTTTAAATAATTACAAACATCCGATCTTAGCACACATCTCAACATTTTAAATAATTACAAACATCCGATCTTAGCACATATCTCAACATTTGTTTCAAGCATAGGCTACTTGTTCTTTTTCAGTACGTTGTTTAAAGCCAGCATCCAATGTGAGGGCACACAACTGTTCTTAGCTGCAGCCAAATGATGAGGAGGGCAGCTAGAATTTTTAAAAATTGGATTTTGTTACTTTTTTGTATTAATGTGACAGCAACATTAATTCTGTTTTTTTTTATTAATATGACAGAGAAATTAATTATTTCCATTTTAAAAATAAAATCAAAGAAAAGTTTATTATTACTTTTTTTTTAGTATTATAACAGAACAATTTATTTCTATTTCTTTTAATTAATATGACAAATTAATTATTTCCATTTTTAAAATTAATATGACAGAAAAGTTTAATATTTCTTTTTTTTGTCATACAAAAAAACAATTTATTTCTATTTTTTAGCGCAATTTCCATACTGGACAATTGAGATTATTAACTCGTCATTTCTGGTGATGGATGGATGTGTGTCCGCAGCTTTAAGTCGTATCTCCTCCTCAATATCGAGGACTAGTTCCAAAGCAAATATGTTAAGCCAGTTCCGAGGATGATTGTGGGCCAAAAAAATTCCCGGAATTCCTTCCTGGATTTCCCGGAAAAGCCAAAAAACCTCAAAAAAATGCAGTTTTTGGCCCATATCTCGGCAACCAGACCATATAGCGACTTGAAACATTTACCAATCGATTCCTGCATAAGTTAGAACAATATTGCAGAAGAAAGTTTTCAAAAATATCCTTTCGTTCGGTCACAAAAAATTAATTAAGGAAATTGCGCTTAAATTGTCACTAGACTTTTTATTAACTTGTTTTAATTAATATGACAGAAAAGTTTTAGTTTTTTTAAAGTTATTTAAGAGAAAAATTAATTTTTTTTTTACTTTCTTGTATACAGGGTATAGAGGATGTATTGTAATTGTGCAAAAAAAATAATTAAAAAATCCAAATCTAAATTTTTAATAAATCTCGGCGTTATACACTTCACTGAGTTGGAAAAACTTAATTTTGCCTGTTTGTGTGTCTGTTTCAGCGATTTCCGGTAACCGGAAGTGGAACTTATTCTTTTTCAATTTTTCAAAAGCCTATAACTTGAGTACTATTTCAGATAGGTGAAATTTCACACATATAAGTAAAAAATATATTTCTTTGTTTTTCATCAAATTTTGATACCAGGGACTGGAAGTAGTACTTTACGCTATTTCTAATTTCTCAATAAACACGTATGAATTTATCAAGTAATAATGTTCCGCACTATTATACTCATATTGTTTGCAGTTCAGTTGGTGCCCAATTCATTTTTTCTACGAGATTCTATTCTATATTAAAAAGTTTAAGTAAGTAGATTAAAAAGCATGTCTATATCTCAAGTTGCCATCCCTTGTTATTTAGAATATTCGAGAAAGTTGAGGGGAGACCACTTCCACTTTATTTAAATTATTATAACGGAAATTAATTCTATTTCTTTTATTAACATGATAGAAAAATGTATTTCTATTTTTTAAAATATTAAAGAAAAAGATGCTCTATTTTAAAAATTAATATTCTATGTGACCAGAATCATACCTTAGCACTTATTATATGTGAGCAGAATCATACCTTAGCACTGGATGTACATGACACCTGGAGGTTAGACTGTAAATTGTGGACGCTTAAGGGGTGGGTGGGGGACTATAGGAGGCAGAGGGGAGATGTCACCCAGGGGGCGGAGAATGGGCGTGGTTCTGTCCAGCAAATCATTGACAGTTATCCCAGGATTCCCTGCTCGCAGACTGATGGGTTGCATCCCCTTGAAATTCTCTTCCAGCATATCAAGCTTTCTATAGTACTGAAAGAATTGATCACAATCACAGAATAAACAAGATCAAACAATACACAAATACAACAATCACAGAATAAACAAGATGAAACAATACACAAATACAACAATCACAGAATAAACAAGATCAAACAATACACAAATACAACAATCACAGAATAAACAAGATTAAACAATACACAAATACAACAATCACAGAATAAACAAGATTAAACAATACACAAATACAACAATCACAGAATAAACAAGATCAAACAATACACAAATAAAACAATCACAGAATAAACAAGATTAAACAATACACAAATACAACAATCACAGAATAAACAAGATTAAACAATACACAAATACAACAATCACAGAATAAACAAGATTAAACAATACACAAATACAACAATCACAGAATAAACAAGATCAAACAATACACAAATAAAACAATCACAGAATAAACAAGATCAAACAATACACAAATACAACGACAGAATAAACAAGATCAAACAATACACAAATACAACAATCACAATAAACAAAATCAAACAATACACAAATACAACAATCACAGAATAAACAAGATCAAATAATACACAAATACAACAATCACAGAATAAACAAGATTAAACAATACACAAATACAACAATCACAGAATAAACAAGATTAAACAATACACAAATACAACAATCACAGAATAAACAAGATTAAACAATACACAAATACAACAATCACAGAATAAACAAGATTAAACAATACACAAATACAACAATCACAGAATAAACAAGATTAAACAATACACAAATACAACAATCACAGAATAAACAAGATCAAACAATACACAAATACAACAATCACAGAATAAACAAGATCAAACAATACACAAATACAACAATCACAGAATAAACAAGATCAAACAATACACAAATACAACAATCACAGAATAAACAAGATCAAACAATACACAAATACAACGACAGAATAAAGCCTAAGCTGCTGTATTTACCAAAGCTTTATTGAGACAATAAAGTAAAAGCAAAGACCTACCAGCCCAGGTCCTTTCTTGACACGACTGCCCTCTCTGATGATGACGCCTCGAGCCACTTCCATCTCTTCAATCTGAGATCAGATCAAAACTAGTTTTACAAACTTCCATCTCTTCAATCTGATATCAAAACTAGTTTTACAAACTTCCATCTCTGAGATCAAAACTATTTTTACAAACTTCCATATCTGAGATCAGATCAAAACTAGTTTTACAAACTTCCATCTCTTCAATCTGAGATCAGATCAAAACTAGTTTTACAAACTTCCATCTCTTCAATCTGAGATCAGATCAAAACTAGTTTTACAAACTTCCATCTCTTCAATCTGAGATCAGATCAAAACTAGTTTTACAAACTAATCTTTACAAACCATTTTTAACAGAAATTATTTTTTTCTGATTAAACTTGCAACTAGTCTTTACAGTTATGCATGTAGGTATTGTGGCACTAAAACACACAAAAAGAAGCCAAAAAACACAATGAAAGTGATGAATTAAAACAAAATGAAAAAACAAACTTCAAGTTGAGTAAATTAGGAACAAGTTTACCACTGGCTGTGTAATTTCTTCTATTGAAGATTTGGAAGTCAACTCGGAATTTCCCTGTCGCTTTAACCAAACAGAGAGTAATAAAAATACAAATGTAAACTTCCAGTAATCAGGAAATATACTGCCAGCTTATGTCAGGTGATCTTCCATGCTCTGGCGGCAGATAATGGAATGCACACCAGATATGGTAGGCACCAGGTAATCAAATACCTGGGGTGGTACAAAACTAGGTCAAATACCTGGGGTGGTACAAAACTAGGTCAATCAAATACCTGGGGTAGCACAAAACTAGGTCAATCAAATACCTGGGGTGGTACAAAACTAGGTCAAATACCTGGGGGGTACAAAACTAGGTCAATCAAATACCTGGGGTGGCACAAAACTAGGTCAATCAAATACCTGGGGTGGTACAAAACTAGGTCAATCAAATACCTGGGGTGGCACAAAACTAGGTCAATCAAATACCTGGGGTGGCAGAAAACCAGGACCTGCTGCCCCCTTGTACATAGTGGAGGGAGTGTAAGTTTTCCTTTCAAACCTGATGGTCTATGGGGCAAGTGAATTAGAGTTCACTTGTTTCTCTGACCTCGGCATATGAAGAGATAGTGTGGTCAGCACTATGTGGAGGGATCCACAAAGGCTAAAGGTCCTTGCCAAAAATGTAAGGCAGATCTCCAAAGAGCTAAAAGGGGAGCCATGATGCCCTCAACCCTGGACCTGTCAGGCTAATTCTAAGCAAAGAAGATTTAGTCAGCCCTGGAAGTAGAATCTTATGCAAACACAGCATTGGTCGGATGGGAGGCACATGGCACCCTCTGCCCCATCTGGGAGGCACATGGCACCCTCTGCCCCATCTGGGAGGCACATGGCACCCTCTGCCCCATCTGGGAGGCACATGGCACCCTCTGCCCCATCTGGGAGGCACATGGCACCCTCTGCCCCATCTGGGAGGCACATGGCACCCTCTGCCCCATCTGGGAGGCACATGGCACCCTCTGCCCCATGGCCCTAGAAATCTCTGCCCCAACTAATAATAAACATGAAACGGGCACAAATCAGTTATAGGGCAGAGGGCGAAAATCCTAACAATTAATAAATGACTAAATCTGTCCAAAGTACGGTTACATTCACTCTCTCATAACATGGCAGGTACCTAGATGGTGAGAATTGCCCTTTGATCAAGCTCCCCAAGAAAATTGACCTCAGTAGCTTTTTTTTTTTTTTTACACTGACCTTACTACCCATGGTGACACTAGATACACAACAAACATGTCATTTTAAGACAGAACTTATTACAGGAGAAGGTAGTGATAAGATACTGAAATTACCAGAGAAGGGGGTAGTGATGAGATACTGAACTTACCAGAGAAGGGGGTAGTGATGAGATACTGAACTTACCAGAGAAGGTAGTGATGAGATACTGAACTTACCAGAGAAGGTAGTGATGAGATATTGAACTTACCAGAGAAGGTAGTGATGAGATATTGAACTTACCAGAGAAGGGGGTAGGGATGAGATATTTGCTGACTGCGACAGCGTGACAAGTTTAGATTTGGCTTCTGAAACAACAAAAATAACTTTTGAGTTGAAGTCAATGTTGCGAAGTGGTTTCGGTACGGGTCGATGCTGAACGTTACGAACAATAGATGACGACGATCCAAAAAGAGAACACTGAACGACGCTACGATGTTTCCATATTTTATTACATATAATACCCACAGCTACATAGACGATAGACGGGACGACGACTTCTAGACATCCTCACAAGACGACGACAAGACCAAGACTAACTCTCAACTATCTTCCTAACAACGAAAACATTCTCTCTTACGTCACATCCTTATTTATTCATGCATTCATAATCTTTTATTAATACCGCTACACACATACTCTCAAACCATCCACAACTATATTAACTCTATTCAACTACACACATACTCTCAAGCCATCCACAACTATATTAACTCCATTCAACTACACACATACTCTCAAACTCATTCCATACACTTAGGTCCATTCACAACATACCCCTCTCCTTTCTTCAGCTGAAAATACATACCAGAACTATCAAACTATTTTCAGCTTCAACTTCATAAGACATGCATCTATACAATATGCTAAACATGCAACAAATACAATGTTCTGAGGTCTATGATAAATCATCAACGTCGTCAGTCACTTGAACACATACATCTCTTGGTCCCAACCAACACCTTGTCCACACATCATCACATCATCTTTTGCATCTGGTTTCTTGTCTCTGGACATCAACACAAGCTATAAAAAAAATAATCCAGGACCAACATGTACCTAAACTATACAATAACTTCTAATTTAAAATAATATTGTTGAGCACCTCTTCCTGTCCTTAAAATATAATATTACTACCAAATAGCAAAGTCGCATAGCTTCTAAAAATGTGAAAATTAAATCACAACTAATATTTACAATCAATACGATTTGGCCATATATTATATAACTCAATAGTTCCCTAATCATCATAAAAACTACTATCCAACAATCAGGAAATCAACGGTTCAAGCAAATACCAGCACTCCATATTTAAACCAATTACCACCTAAAGATATTATAGTCAATCCATACAATGGAGTACACCAATGAACTAAATTAGAACCATCAACACTTCCAATAAGCCAATACAATATCACATAGAGGAGTATTTCCCGTGAACCCCCAAACACAACAACCAGGTACTCGGCACAACCTCGAGATACCAAAAAATAACGCGGACTGCATCCTCAGTCTCGCAAAACAAAATCATTATCTAGCGAAGATCAATTATCTCCAAAAAAAAAAAAAAAAACACTAATCTAATGGGTTCATTATCCAACCAAGAAAATCAAACCTCTTAGGATATAATAATTTAGCACATTGTACCTAAAATACCACGATATTGCTATATCTCTAGTATAGAAATATAATATCTAACGGAGGACAATTTTCCATGACCCCGGGACAAACAAAATATCTCGGCAAACCATCGAGATCCAAATAACCATAATCACTATCCATCATATAACTAAGTTACGTATCAACCAGACAGCATCCAGCATGAATGGGTGACTACGACAATAAAATCAACTACTCTACACGGGAAACAGGGAAAATACTGGGTCCAACAACCAAATCAGAAAATATATCCTCAATTGATATCGTATGTAATACACCAAAGAGTCCCTAAACCTAACACTAACAAAGTAACAAATTCCATATAGTTAATACATATTAAGACTATCCACAAAAAGGGAACCTAACGCTATATATTTCAATAACGCCCTCTCTAAGGCGCTTCCCTAAATGAGAATGGTTAATTGTAATTAACATAAGGCAAGTTAATTATACATTTAAATTTAAAGTATAGTAAACAGTATAACTACCACCAAAATTATATACATAATGACAAAATACAGTACTCTATCTCCATGATGGTATTTGGAGAGAGTAAAACCATATAGATCTCCCAATATTAATTAACAGGTATTGTTGAAACTAATCATTAGTGAACCAGTAACTGGTTGTCATTATCTTACACTAGAATTCACCAGATCTAGACCGATTTTTATATAGATGGTAGATAGTGTCTAGTTGTCCTAATTATTACATGATTTGCTTCTAAATATTAAATAAAACTAGATTCTAAATTACAGGGCAAATGAAATGTTACACAATTAGTGTGAACTATGACACTGGTAACTGGATTCTAGATCTAGATCAATGATGTTGGGGAAAAAATTTATATCCAGTAGGGCCTAAACAAATATTACTAAAAATGAACAACAAAAAAATTGTATTAGATCTTAGTATCTAAAAAAAATGGAAGAGGTGTACTCAACTTAAACAATCCCAGACGTCAGGTCTTCATAACAACTCCAGATCCCACACTCCATAGGCCACATCAGGTGCAGGCGATGACTTGTAGTACACATGCCGGTATAGTCCAAGTCAGTCACACACACTGGATTGGTGACGCAGATTGACGTCGACTTGTACTTCGAGAATCCAGGCAGATAATATAGTTCTTGTAGTTCGGGAATTCATCTCGACCAATACTGGGTTGAACAAACGAAGAAAATTCTCGTCTGCACTGTCGATAAGGTCAACCACTAAGAAATTTGACATGATGAAGGTCAGGGACGTCATCAAAACATGTATGCCAAACAATTCAGCCGATCACGACGATGTGGGTTAGACGAGGGTGATGACGTAAACTCTTCCAACGAACAGTTGACGATGTAGGAAGAAACCCGAAAATTAATCATCAGTCATGAAGAAAATCTGCATAAACGATGGATTCATCATGACTAAAACAGCACGGTCATTGTAGAGGGTCGGGGACGAGTGGCGATGACGTCAAAATAAACAACTGTGGACATCAAATAAATGCCGGCCTTTGGACTACTGCTCAGCACGAACCAAAGATGAAAACGGTCACATCTGTAGTTCTAACCTTGACGGGAATCAATGGGCGATGAGAGACCCGATATAGTCGCTGGATATCGCGCCGGTCAACCAGAAGTCCGTCTCCAGCAAACGACGACGAATCGAGCAGGCCACATCACGCGTCGAAAAGTCCATTCATCACGGTCCAAGGTCAGGGTCTGGTACACAACTGAGTCCCGATCAAATTAAACAACCGTTGATACTGATGATTACGACGTACTGCTGTAGATAACGGGCGAATCTAGATGTAGGCATACTGCTGGCCACAGATGAGATGACATTACGGCAGGTGTAGACGGGAACGTACTGTGCGACAGATAAGTTCAGCAAACCGCTGCTTCCACCATATGTTGCGAAGTGGTTTCGGTACGGGTCGATGCTGAACGTTACGAACAATAGATGACGACGATCCAAAAAGAGAACACTGAACGACGCTACGATGTTTCCATATTTTATTACATATAATACCCACAGCTACATAGACGATAGACGGGACGACGACTTCTAGACATCCTCACAAGACGACGACAAGACCAAGACTAACTCTCAACTATCTTCCTAACAACGAAAACATTCTCTCTTACGTCACATCCTTATTTATTCATGCATTCATAATCTTTTATTAATACCGCTACACACATACTCTCAAACCATCCACAACTATATTAACTCTATTCAACTACACACATACTCTCAAGCCATCCACAACTATATTAACTCCATTCAACTACACACATACTCTCAAACTCATTCCATACACTTAGGTCCATTCACAACAGTCAAGTTTTCTACCTTTATGTGGGCTTGTGTTCCCCAGCTGATTAAGAAAGTTACTACCTTTTAACATAACATCCTTTGAAAAAGTTTTTGAGCGTATCCTTCGAATTTTGCTCATTGATTTTCCCTTCCTGTTGAGATCAAGTTTAGCAGAAGATTCAGTCAACGGATCAACCACTGTGTATTTGATATTCACTCTGACAAAATAAACCAGGAAAAAACATTGATAATTTTAAATAGATATTAGTAAGCATTAGACAACCCCTGAATAATAACTACATCACATATTAAATAGGCTGCTAGTGCTAATGGTAATTTAGTGAAAACAATATAAAAACACGGTGGATAGTAAAACTGTCGCCAATTGGAATTACCAGTAAAGAGTTGTCTAAGCAATACACTCAGTGATCTAACCCACACCTTCTATATATATAATTCTCTTCATGGGGACCATAGAAGACACCACGCAGCTTAGCCACCACCCTCATCCCTACCTGTCAGGTGAGCTGTGGTTCACCCCGAATGTTTATAATCGAGGAGCCGGGTTGGCTATTACGGGTAGGGGCAGATAATTTAGATTTTAAAAAGGGGAGGTAATAACAATTTCTGCCAGATAATTTCTGCCCCTCGCGGGAGGGGTGGGAGTGGGGAGGGAGGGTGAGGATAATCGTCTTTACCAGTTACTGATAGTGTTTTAAAGCAAAATATTTTATATATTTATATATTTTACATATATATATTAATATGTTTCAGCAATGTGCGTGTATTTAATATTTTCTTGACGTATACACCTCTGATCAGAAGGACGGACGGACAGCAACCCTTCTAGGAGAGAAAACTCCAGAATCAAACAACTCGTCTTTTACCTTGTAGTTTGTTCTTGGTTGGACAGATGCTATGAAAGCAAATGAAATAGGAAAGCAGGCTATGACAAGCCCATAAGGTGTTGACATGTAATACCAATCTAGAAGAATCAGTCAGAGCCTTACTTGTGGGTGGGTAGTTTGTCTGGGTCCAACTTGATCACACCAATCACATTGCCCATGTCATCATACATAACCTCTTTGTTGCCAGGTGGGCGGCCATTTTGAAACTGCAACAATTCCAAATAAAATATGTCATTCATATTGGTCATTCATATGGCTCCATTCTGCCTCAGGAGCCAAACTAATTAATATGGCTCCATATGGCTACATTCTGCCTCCAGAAACAATGGATGCACCCTGTAGAATACAAGGGGAAGCTACCAGGGCATTAGATAAAGAATGGGGTCATCTGTCTCTCAACCTTTGCCCCACACACTGTACAAGAAATTCCTTACCAGTGTTTCTTTCAGGTGATGGGGCTCTAGAAACTTGTATTGGGGGGGGGGGGGGGGCACACTTTCCTGGGCAGGGGTCAGACTCTGGTTTAATTATATTTTCTATTAAAATTATAAATATTTTCTATTTTGTCGGGGGAGGGGGGGGGGGGGGGGGAAATGTACCGAGGTGATGGACCTGCTGCCCCCCCTCCCCCTACTGAACAAAGCTCTGATCTTAACAAGTTTATCACCCCAGCATGAAGGTCCTTACTTTGATAAGACTCGTGCATGAGGCTGGCATTGTCAGCACTGTGCTCTGCTTGTCTCGGCCATCACTTGTCTGTGAGAGCTCATTGTAGAACAGTTTCATCTCTGTTTCATCCAAAGACTCCGTTAAATTGCCAATTTTTGGTGTTTTTAACTTGCCACGATAAGGACGAAATTTGGCCTTGGCCTTGGCCTCAAGAGTTTCCGTCGTCTCTTGGTCAGTCTTGTGGTCATCTGGCAGCCCTAGTTCCACTGGCTCCTGGGTCTCAGACACAAAGTCTGGCATTTCTTCTATGGCTGCTTCCACAAGATTCTCTTCAGTTGTTGAGGGCCTAGCATTAAGCAACAAGCTTTAAGTTGTGGGGACCTGACATTAAGTTGTGGGGATGTGTGGGTACCTGACATTAAGTTGTGGGTACCTGACATTAAGTTGTGGGGACCTGACATTAAGTTGTGGGGACCTGACATTAAGTTGTGGGTACCTGACATTAAGTTGTGGGGACCTGACATTAAGTTGTGGGTACCTGACATTAAGTTGTGGGGACCTGACATTAAGTTGTGGGGATGTGTGGGTACCTGACATTAAGTTGTGGGTACCTGACATTAAGTTGTGGGTACCTGACATTAAGTTGTGGGTACCTGACATTAAGTTGTGGGTACCTGACATTAAGTTGTGGGTACCTGACATTAAGTTGTGGGGACCTGACATTAAGTTGTGGGTACCTGACATAAGTTTAATATAATATTTGATTGCTACGCCACTGATTGCCTACAATGATAGATGGATAAAATAAATTTAAATATATTATTTTTTTTCAGCTTAAGTTTGTTTTGGATTAAATCTTTATCTCAGAAAGCATTTTTAGATTACACTCACTCTACTTCCTCTGGGATAATTTCTTGTACCTCTATGATGGGTGTTTTGGGCCTGATGATAGTTTTAGGTACGGAGCCTTGGGCCCAACAGTCAGTGCTGGCTGGCTCTGGCTCTGGGGAGAGAAATATTTTTGGCACTTTTGTCACGGTGTGTGCGCACGTGTGTGTGTGTGGTCAAACCACAATAGATATATATATATATATATATATATATATATATATATATATATATATATATATATATATATATATATATATATATATATATATATATATATATATACAAACACAAAATACTAATATAGGATACTGATTCCTGGCCTGAACAGGTTTTAGAAAAAAAGGAGCTTATCCACACCCCTATTTGACTGTTTAAAATAGGGAAATAAGTCATGGAAGTGGCTTGAATGTTTTCTTATTTTTCACACTAGAGCTCATGTATATATTTTTGTACGCAACAGCATGTCTTAGCTACTGTAGCAGATCTGTCTGTTTTTTACAAAATCACTATCATGGTGTCAGAGGTGGAACTATACAAATTAGGGTGTGGGGAAATTGCGAGACGCGAAAAGCGAAATGGCGAGGCGGGAAAATGCGAGAACGTAATGCGAGACATACCTGCGGAATTAAGGGGAAATAGCGAGACACTTTTTGCGAAAAAAAAATTTCATGCTTTTTTTTATCTTTATTTATTTAAATTATTTTTTGTTTTGTTTTAAAATAAACAAGCATTTAGCCATACCCTTTAACACGAGTGTTGTATGTTGTTATTTTTTATCTAGATTTTATTATTATCGTTATTTATTTAAATTATTTTTATTATTATAGATAGATACTAAGAAGATAGATATATCTATATCTAGATCTATCTATTTAAAAATCCTAACATCGTTGCTGTGCTACTGTCATCGCCCGCTCTCGTTAGCGAGAGGAAAATCCCGTCTCAGTCGGCATTAATTTTAAAAATCTAGTCCGCTCATGTTTATACAAACGTGAGCTGTGTCATTGTGAATTGGTATAATCTTGTCAGCAGGAGAGATATTCTGCAACATGTATTTATGGATTTTTGTGTAAAAGTATAATCAATTCTAAAAAGTGCAATTTATTTTTTTATTAAGTAATTTTAATTACAAACAAAATTTACAAACAAAATCTTCTGAAACAGTCCTCAAACACACCTCGTGACACCATCTTTCACACATAGTACACCCAACCCAGTTCATTAGACTCCCATTTATACATTTTTCTTTTGCTACTTCTTCCAATCCACATTCACAACATTTCACATTCTCCTCCTTCATCCCACAAACAACACTGGCACCCCAAACAGTAAGTAAGAGAAAAAAAAACTGGGACATTGAGAGTTCATAAAAGCTTAGGAATAAGCAACACATAAGGGAGGGTTAATCTAGTCCTCACCTTCACATAGGGCAGTAATCGCATACTTAATTTGAGGTTATTTTTTCTGACTTATTTATGGAAATAATAAATAATAAATTATATATATATATATATATATATATATATATATATATATATATATATATATATATATATATATACAATTAATTAATAAATAATAATATAACATTTATGGGAAAATTCGGAAAAGTCACAACCGTGATATAAAATCTAATATAAATTAGTGTAAAGGAACATTGGAAGAGAAAACACACAGTAAGTAGTTCTTACCTCCAGAATAGTTGAATCCAAATGATGTAGGCATTTCCTTGAGCTTAGATTTATATGGTAAAAAAAGCTAGAAAAAAATCGTAGGCGGCGCGGCGGCTATAATACAAAATTTCTATGCAACAATAGAAAATATGTTTGCGGCGGCAGCGGATCAGGGCACGGCGATCTTCAAAGACGGTGAATCAGGCGGCCTCGGCGTTCTACACAAAAGACAGAAGTTGATCTATCGTCGGCGGTATTTCCGTCAGTTTCGAACAAGGTGATAATCTAAGTCGACACAAAAGATGGGGGAGTTGACAAATCATCAGTATATCTAGCGACGGAAAAATCGGAAGTTTTAACAATGTAAACGAAACGTCTTTGAAGTCTGGACCAAATACCACTAAAAATCGGGTGCGGTAAATTTTTCGCAGAAATCTTCGCATTTCATCACCACCCAGCGTAAGTATCGGGTTGTGGTAAAATGCGAGACAAAAAAGTCACGTGACCGACCGTTTTCGCGCCCTTCTCGCATTTTCCCGCCTCGCCATTTCGCTTTTCGCGTCTCGCAATTTCCCCACACCCTACAAATTAAGCCATCTAGAGCCAGTCTATCTAGAGCCAGTCTATCTAGAGCCAGTCTATCAGTCTATCTAGAGCCAATCTATCAGATTTTATCTAGAGCCAGTCTATCTAGAGCCAGTCTATCACAGTTTATCTAGAGCCAGTCTATCTAGAGCCAGTCTATCTAGAGCCAGTCTATCAGTCTATCTAGAGCCAATCTATCAGATTTTATCTAGAGCCAGTCTATCTAGAGCCAATCTATCTAGAGCCAGTCTATCTAAAGCCAGTCTATCACAGTTTATCTAGAGCCAGTCTATCTAGAGCCAATCTATCAGATTTTATCTAGAGCCAGTCTATCTAGAGCCAGTCTATCTAGAGCCAATCTATCAGATTTTATCTAGAGCCAGTCTATCTAGAGCCAGTCTATCACAGTTTATCTAGAGCCAGTCTATCTAGAGCAGTGTTTCTTCCAGACTTTTTTCTCCGGGGGGGGGCACTTGAAATCTTCGGGGGGGGGGGGGGGGGGGGGGCGGTAAACTTTCTTCGGGGGGGGGGGGGGGGGGCGGACACTGTTAAAAGTATATATTTTCTATATAAATTATATGAATTTCATTTCGTTCGGGGGGGGGGGGGGGCGGTAAAAATTTTTCGGGGGGGCCTATGTCCCCCCCGAAGAGATGCCTGGAAGAAACTCTGATCTAGAGCCAGTCTATCACAGTCTATCTAGAGCCAGTCTATCACAGTCTATCTAGAGCCAGTCTATCTAGAGCCAATCTATCAGATTTTATCTAGAGCCAGTCTATCTAGAGCCAGTCTATCTAGAGCCAGTCTATCACAGTTTATCTAGAGCCAGTCTATCTAAAGCCAGTCTATCACAGTCTATCTAGAGCCAGTCTATCTAGAGTCAGTCTATCACAGTTTATCTAGAACCAGTCTATCTAGAGCCAGTCTATCTATAGCCAGTCTATCTAGAGCCAGTCTATCTAGAGCCAGTCTATCACAGTTTATTTATAGATGCAGTCTATCTAGAGCCAGTCTATCTAGAGCCAGTCTATCTAGAGCCAGTCTATCTAGAGCCAGTCTATCACAGTCTATCTAGAGCCAGTCTATCTAGAGCCAGTCTATCTAGAGCCAGTCTATCTAGAGCCAGTCTATCTAGAGCCAGTCTATCAATGACAAGACAAACCTTCATCCTGATGCCAACTAGAATCTGATTGGAAATTTTCCTCCCCCTCATCTCTTGTAAGGAACTGCCACTGTGATCACATGAAAAACATTGTATACGTATCAAACTGTATATGTATATGTTTTAAAGAATATTTCTCTTTTCATTCGATTTATATAAAGATTAGCTAGTAAAAAAACTTTGGTTTTTCATGTTCTATATAAAAGTTTACTCAAAATTAAATTTACCTTTATTATTTCCACAATGGCTTCTTTGGCTTGAGATATAGTAAAGGGAAGTAACTGACTCTCTATGTGTCTGTCATAGATTACAGACAATGTTTTTGAAATGATTTCCTCCACCAAATCAAAAGCAAAGTCTTCTGCTGTATCTCTTTCAAGCACGTAGTTCCTGCAAGCAGTGCAAATAGAATCAAAACCTGCAGCTATAAGGCAAAAACCTGCTAGTCATATATATATATATATATATATATATATATATATATATATATATATATATATATATATATATATATATATATATATATATATATATATATAAATAACAGAAGGAAGGTAAATAAGCATACCAGTCATTTTCATTGAATTTCCCTGGCACAATGTCATGTGAGGCAGTTGGTGTTTGTGATGTTGGAGGCTTACTTTTGTCTGTACCTCTAGGTTTAGTTAATCCCCCCATACGAGACATCCTGGCTCAATTCAGATTAACTGATCTGAAAGGGTAATATGATTAAAGTAAGACAGTAGTCAATAAACTCAACATGAAAAACAAAAATTTCTCCGGTATTTCTAGATAAAACTTTTAATTGGATTAATTTTCACATGTTGATAAATTACAAGTAATTTTAGAATGACAGGCATAATCTACACTGTTGTATTGTGGTGTGCTATAAGACCATGTTCGGTGAGGGCCCCAAATTTATTTAGTTGTATTTAACAATGAAATGAATTTAAAATGTGTTTGCTATCTTAGCCAATTATTTAAGTTCTAACTAGACATTGTTTTTTGACTTCTTTAGCAATACTTTGGTCTGTAATTTTTGCATTACTTTGTGCTTTGACAAAGAATGCTAAAGGATATTTAGTTGTGTGGTTTTTGTGTGCCTTTTCTACAGTCAAATAAAATGAATTTGTTATTTTTAATATTTTATTATCCAGAAAGAAAAGTAATATCCCACCCACATCTCCAAAATTACAATTAAAGAAGAAGAATAGGCCCCTAACATATTGTCTTCAGACAAAGTTTTTTCCCGACACTAAGGCTTTGACTGAAGGTCTCTTGACAAAAATAACATTCAACAAAGGCCAAGGCTATAAGGCTATTTCCATTTGGCTACCATACAAATGAGAATAATATTTTACAGTTACAAACAAAAGCATGTATCCTGACTGGGGAATGAGGTGTAGATCAAGAGATCAGTGCTATTTTTTTTTGTTTAGATTTTTATAATAAAAAATATTATGGTTTATTATGTATGATAAAGTAATTTTTAAATTTATAATCATCCATCAGTTTTGTTAGTGGTTCACAATGCTCTTCAACTGTCAATTACCTTTTTAAAATTCACATAGAATAAATATCAGGTGAAATAGCATGTCTGTTTTAATCAGCTATTATTCATCTTTCCACCACAATAAAGTTTTTTTTTCTCTAAGCAAAAATCTAGGGAATGTGATTTGGTTTTTTGCTGCAAATGTGCTCACCATCATGCCACAAACAAGAAAACAAAATTTGAATTATTTTTTTTTTCATGATTAAATGCCAAACATCAATGTTATGAATTTACAATGACTGCCAAACATTTGAAGGCTTTTGATGGGTTTGGCCCCACAATATTGGGCACTACAGCCATGCATTGTTCCACTTTCAAATCAAATAACTCTAAAATACTGCTTCGATACCAAACCAGCCTATGCGAATACCAAACATGAAAGCATTAATTTTACACACATTACAATTAACTGGTAATAATTTATTGTGTTTATGAGATGTGTTACGCGTAAATCAGGGGTTCCCAACCCTGTGCCCGCGGGCGCCATGGCGCCCGCTGAACGATTCGTACGTGCACGCCTCTCACAATTCGACAGAGACAGAATTTTTTCCATTTTATTTTAAAATATGATTTATTTTTATTCATTTGTTACAGTTTTAATTTTTTTTTTTTGACTGCCTAGGTTTATTAAATATGTTCGATACTTGTCCCAACTTGTCTAGCGGCGAGCCAGACTGCACTATTTACGCAAGCCTGGAACGGCTAGTGCCATTTGCACATCACACCTTGTACACGCAGAAAACCCGAAGTGAACAAATGGAATGAACGCCACGAACTGATCCGATAAACGCCGAAGGCGCCAAATCACAAGGCACATAACGCTGATTGCTTCGGCGATCATCGGCTCACTTCGGGTTTTCCGCGTGTACATGGAGCAAAAAGCATTTCCCCCTTTGCGAATCATTGTTTTCAAACATGAACTTAATAAAATCAAGATATAGAGCTCGACTCACCGATGAGCATCTTTATGATTGTCTGCTAACAGGATTATCGTCATACGCTCCTAATTATGAAGCTCTGACCCAGTCGCGTAGCGAGGTCGGGTTTGACCCGGCGAGGCGTAGCGACCCTTCCCGGGGACAAACTTTCAAATTTTCGATTTGCACCCCCCCTCAAACTTTCGATTTGCGCCCCCTCTCAAGTTTTTGATTTACACCCCCCCCCTCAAACTTTCGATTTGCACCCCCCGCTCAAGTTTTTCTCTATATATTTTGCTATTTTTTGCCTTGGTGTCACCCCCCTAAATGGTGTCACCCGGTGCGGTCCGCACCCCCGCCCACCCCCCTTGCTACGCTCCTGCTATGACCAATGAAATGCAATGCCAAAGATCACATTGACTTTATTATATTTTTTAATTAAATGTTTTCATTGTATTTATGTGTTTTGTTTACTTTCTTTACGTTTTGTAAATACATTTCTCTGTGAGTATGCAATTTGAAAAAAATGCCAAATAATTTTATTATTTTGAAACATTTTTGTTTATTATTTATTAATACATTATGACTATAAGAAAATAAGAAAATAAATTATGGGAAAATGACAAGTTATGGACGGAGTTTGTCGATTTAAAATAGGTGGTGCCCGCCACCCTACCGATATTTTAGAATGTGCTCTAGAGTAAAAAAAGGTTGGGAACCCCTGGCGTAAATGATCACCCCTCAATAATGCCATTTTATTATAATCTTTTTTGGTGAAAACAAGGCGCGGGAAAAAGTATGCAGTGCAAGAATCCAATTATTTGGCTAGATTTATAACTATTTTTGTTATGTCATACATAAAAATAGAATGTTTACACTTCCTTCATTGATGATAATTTTTATTACTTTTTAAACTGAAAGTGAAGGTTTTTGTATACTTACTCTTTATCAATTTAAAAAGCATAACATGCTGAATGTGTACAAATACAGTAATAAAACACAGAAATATAAAGTTCCAATTATGGTAAATTATGTTTTAATGAAGGTCACAGGTCAAGTACTAGCCAAGTATTTTCTCCTTCAGTGGAGGGTGCCACAGGCTGACCTGACTGGAATTTTTTCAGTAATAATGACTTTTGCACAAAAAGTTAATAGATCTAGATTCTAGATCAATATGCTAAACTAAAACTGGCATAGTTTACCGTCAGTGTGTTAGCTAATTACTAATTAGCTATTATTGATACATTTTTTCTAAAAAAATTTTTTTGAAATTTTCATCAAAATGCCTAGTATGTATGTTCAACGTACTGGCATAATATTAATGTGTGATAATTAAATATATAGAACTATCTTGAATCTTCAGGATCGTGGGCTAATTATTTGAATTTAAAGATGTTTTATTAACTAATGATCTACTTTGTTTTCCAAATCAAGTTCAGTAGGCCCTAATTATTTGTAATTAATTAATTATTTAAATTTAAAGATGTTTTATTAACTAATGATTTACTTTGTTTTCCAAAACAAGTTAGATCGATGTGGAGATAATTTATAAAAATGACCGATACCTTAAAATTTATTGTTACTAAATAAAATACATAAATGTTGAATTTTATTCAAAGACAACCATGGCATTGTTTATGCCACCATTGTAGCGGATGTTTATGTTGTCATGACAGTCAAAATAAAGCAGAAAACTTCATATGTCATAAGATATTCTATTTAGAATATTTTATAATGCATTTAAATAATAGGTTTTAATTTAATATTTTTAAAAATATATAATTATGTAGACAAGATCTTCATATAAAAGCATTATTTATTTACTTTAAGCTTTTAACTTAAAAAAACTAAATTTTATTTTCTGCAGAATAGGCCTAAAACATGGCTGCTTAAATTGTTTATGGTTGGCAAGGAAAATTTTTTATTTTACTATTTTGATGTCTAAATATTAATGCAAAATTATAAAACGTGTAGTTTTATTTACTAACTTAAATTTAACCATGTAAATTTTTGATTGTGAACAAAGATAGGATATTACACTAACTAAGACTAAGGATCTTATCACTTTCACTTATCAGTTAGTTATCACTTTCACTTCAGGCTGCCGCTTCAGGTAGGTAAGCTGGTTGGGTAATCTAGAATACTAGCATCTAATCTGTTATCGTTTTGGGTACGTAAAATCGCCAGCGACTAGTAATGTGAAAAGACAGGTGACTCCTTAAATTTTATTAAGTATTTCACATTTTGAGGAGGATTTATGTTTTGAAAAAAAGAATTGCACACCGAGTGAACGCCAAATAAAAATGTGCATAATAGTGCGCAATATTATTAGTACTTCATAAATTTACATGCGTTTTTTGAGAACTCGGAAATAGCGTAAATTAGTACTCAAAATTTGATAGAAGGTAGAGATATAGATCTTTTACTTACATGTGAAATTTCATTTATCTACCTGAAATAGTACTCAAGTTATAGGCTTTTGAAAAATTCAAAGTAGAAAAAGTACCACTTCCAGTTATCTAAAGTTGATACGGATCTACGATTTTGATAAAATACTTATATATGAAATTTCATCAACCTAGCTGTAACGGTACTCAAGTTATCGTGTTTACACACACACAGACAGACACACACACAGACACACACACATAGTCACGGACAAGATTGCAAAATTATGTTTTTCCGCACGACTACAAGACGTTCTCTATACTTCGTATATACGAGAAAGTAAAAAGGTAAAAACGATTTGGTTTCCACTTGGTAATGGCGACATAAACAATGACATTCGATAGGCTAGCATAAATTTTATTATACAAAATGTAAACAAAATGGAATAACTAGGTCATGTGGTTTAAAATAGCAACATGTTAGGCCTATTTAAAAAATATATCTGCAAAGTTTTGTAAACGAATAACTATTGATCACGGGGTTCCTGTACAGCCAATCAATTTTTGTCTTTCAAAAGTGAAACATCCGGTTATATACTTTGACTTGATGAAAATAAATAGAAATGTAGCCTTAAACTAAAAAAAAATTATTTTCAAGATCTCCGGATTTGGAGCTTTTGATTATTAAAATATTAAATTTTTGAATGAATTTTAGGCTTAAGTTTTTATTTTTTAATAATTTTATGGCCTCTATGAAGTCAAAATATAAAAAAAGAACTTATTTTATCCTTGTCAACAATATGATAGAAGGATTCTCGTAAACTCTGTGGCCTCCATTTATAAAGTTATCTTTTTATTATTGGTTAGAGGCCGGCACTAGATCTAGCAATGTGTGATTGTGTAGGACCAATGTGTTATTTATAACTGTTTCTTTTGTACAATGCAGTCTGACAACGTCATAGTTTGATACCATCACCTCAAGATGAGGAGTAACTCGGGTAAGATTGTTACTTCTTATCCTCAAATGCATATATATATATATATATATATATATATATATATATATATATATATATATATATATATATATATATGGATAGATATCGATTTATATAGATATATTTAGATAGATATAGATATATATAGTCTATAGGACCTATATATATATATATATATATATAGGCTTATATATATGTAATAAAAATTTTATTTTAGTGAATACTTTGAATTCAAAATAATAAATCACTTAATGAATGTAAAGACTTCAGAGTTAAAAATCAACTGAATGAGAATGTTCGCCGTCTGAGAGAAATTCAGCGCCGATGTAGGCAAAAACAAGTAGAGAAACAAGAGCCTGTCAGAGCTTTGTGGAAGTCAGAAAAATACAGCAATGTGGAATCCAAGATTAAACAAGACGTAGAGGTAGATTTATTACACACTTTGTTTTTTTAGACAATGGGGATAAATGTTTTCATTCTTGTTTTTTATAAAATTATCTTAGCATCCACTATGCTGTCTACGCATTAGTTTCACTAATCTATTAGTTAGACCACTATTCTATCTGCGTAATAGTTTCACTAATCTATTAGTTTGACCACTATTCTATCTACGTAATAGTTTCACTAATCTATTAGTTTGACCACTATTCTATCTGCGTAATAGTTTCACTAATCTATTAGTTTGACCACTATTCTATCTATGTAATAGTTTCACTAATCTATTAGTTTGACCACTATTCTATCTGCGTAATAGTTTCACTAATCTATTAGTTTGACCACTATTCTATCTATGTAATAGTTTCACTAATCTATTAGTTTGACCACTATTCTATCTGCATAATAGTTTCACTAATCTATTAGTTTGACCACTATTCTATCTATGTAATAGTTTCACAATAGCATGACAAGAAATTTCTGACATCATGTAAAAACAAGAGAAAAAATCATGTAAGTCAATATACATTGCTGGAGATGACGCACATTGCATGGCCAATTTGTTTGTCAAGCATGATATGTGTATGATAAATACAACAAAGGTCAAAAACAATTAACATTAGAGCGCAGAAGCAAAATAAGTAAATATCAATGGGATTGTAGTTAGCAATATGGTTAAGGTGACAATAAGGATTACAATTCTTGTTTCAGTTACAGTAAAGGTTCTGGTTTAGGTTGAAGTTCCAGTTTGGATTAAGGATGTTAGTTGTTGGTGTAACTTCTTGTATGGTTTTAGTTCAGGTTAAGGTTTCAATAAAAGTTGCCATTACTGCTTAAAAATCCCATTCTTGTCTTGGTTAAACATCTACATCAGGTTAGTGGTCTGGTTCTGGCTAAAGTCAAGGTCTCGTTATGCACTTGTTGCGGTAAATAATCTAGTGCCAAAAAAATTCCAGTCTCATTTGGGGTTAAAGATTTTGTTTTGGTTACATTTCCAGATTCTTGCTAATGTTCCAGTTAATGTTCTGGTTCTGTTAAAGGTTATGATGAAGGTGTATCAGTTTAGGTTTAGACCATGGGTCTCCAAACTACGGCCCGAGGACTGGATGCGGCCCTCAAGGTCCTCTCATCAGGCCCGCGGAGATTTTTTTGTCCACGGAAAAAAAGTCTGCTAGAGGTGGCTGAGGAACTTTGCCCAGAAAATTCAAAACAATTTGAAAATTTAGCTTTGGGTGCAAATGCCTTTGCCCACCGTGTTGCAGACATTGGTGAAAACATCGTGACTCAAATAGCGAAAAATGCAAGCACGTTTTACTATTTTTTAATTGCAAGGGATGAGTCACTGGACAGCTGTTCCACCTCTCAGCTGTTTGTGTTGATTTGAGGTGTGGATGAAGACATGAACATAATGCAAGAGCTGGCTTCCCTACATAATATGTATGGCACTGTTACCGGAGAGGATATATTGAATGAGTTAAAGAAAACATTTGCTGATTATAACTTGGACAGGGCTAACTTCAGTTAGCATAAAGAAAGGCTTGGTTGGACAAGCGAATGAGAAAAATATTCTACAACCAATGTTTCTGCACTCTATTATTCATCAGCAAGCTTTGAGTGCAAAATATATGGACATATGGCCAATGATCACCTCACCTGGCCAATGATAGCCTCACCTGGCCAATGATAGCCTCACCTGGCCAATGATAGCCTCACCTGGCCAATGATCACCTCACCTGGCCAATGATCGCCTCACCTGGCCAATGATAGCCTCACCTGGCCAATGATAACCTCACCTGGCCAATGATAGCCTCACCTGGCCAATGATAGCCTCACCTCACCTGGCCAATGATCACCTCACCTGGCCAATGATAGCCTCACCTGGCCAATGATAGCCTCACCTCACCTGGCCAATGATAGCCTCACCTGGCCAATGATAGCCTCACCTGGCCAATGATTACCTCACCTGGCCAATGATAGCCTCAACTGGCCAATGATAGCCTCACCTGGCCAATGATAGCCTCACCTGGCCAATGATAGCCTCACCTGGCCAATGATAGCCTCACCTGGCCAATGATAGCCTCGCCTGGCCAATGATAGCCTCACCTGGCCAATGATAGCCTCACCTGGCCAATGATAGCCTCACCTGGCCAATGATTACCTCACCTGGCCAATGATAGCCTCACCTGGCCAATGATCACCTCACCTGGCCAATGATAGCCTCACCTGGCCAATGATAGCCTCACCTCATCTGGCCAATGATAGCCTCACCTGGCCAATGATAGCCTCACCTGGCCAATGATAGCCTCACCTCACCTGGCCAATGATAGCCTCACCTGGCCAATGATAGCCTCACCTGGCCAATGATAGCCTCACCTGGCCAATGATAGCCTCACCTCACCTGGCCAATGATAGCCTCACCTCACCTGGCCAATGATAGCCTCACCTGGCCAATGATAGCCTCACCTGGCCAATGATAGCCTCACCTGGCCAATGATAGCCTCACCTCACCTGGCCAATGATAGCCTCACCTGGCCAATGATAGCCTCACCTGGCCAATGATAGCCTCACCTGGCCAATGATAGCCTCACCTGGCCAATGATAGCCTCACCTCACCTGGCCAATGATAGCCTCACCTGGCCAATGATAGCCTCACCTGGCCAATGATCGCCTCACCTGGCCAATGATCACCTCCCCTGGCCAATGATAGCCTCACCTGGCCAATGATAGCCTCACCTCACCTGGCCAATGATCACCTCACCTGGCCAATGATAGCCACACCTGGCCAATGATAGTCTCACCTGGCCAATGATAGCCTCACCACCTGTAGAATAAAACTCTCCCCACCTGTAGAATAAAACTCTCCCTACCTGTAGAATAAAACTCTCCCCACCTGTAGAATAAAACTCTCCCCACCTGTAGAATAAAACTCTCCCCACCTGTAGAATAAAACTCTCCCTACCCGTAGAATAAAACTCTCCATACCTGTAGAATAAAACTCTCCCTACCTGTAGAATAAAACTCTCCCCACCTGTAGAATAAAACTCTCCCCACCTGTAGAATAAAACTCTCCCCACCTGTAGAATAAAACTCTCCCCACCTGTAGAATAAAACTCTCCCCACCTGTAGAATAAAACTCTCCCCACCTGTAGAATAAAACTCTCCCCACCTGTAGAATAAAACTCTTCCCACCTGTAGAATAAAACTCTCCCCACCTGTAGAATAAAACTCTCCCCACCTGTAGAATAAAACTCTCCCCACCTGTAGAATAAAACTCTTCCAACCCTTAGAATAAAACTCTCCCCACCTGTAGAATAAAACTTTCCCGACCCTTTTTGTTCCTCAGAAACCATGCACACCAAGGCCACATTCAGCTAACTTTCTGCGAGCACATTCCCGCGCTGGGCCACCTGTTAAATTAGAATCTCGACCTGTCACACCTGATGTGTCTAACAAGTTAACTGTACCAGCTGCATCAACTGCTGCAGAGGTAAGTACTTTACCTGTAGCACCAACTGCTGCAGAGGTAAGTACTGTACCAGCTGCATCAACTGCCGCAGAGGTAAGTACTGTACCAGCTGCATCAACTGCCGCAGAGGTAAGTACTGTACCTGTAGCATTAACTGCTGCAGAGGTAAGTACTGTACCAGCTGAATCAACTGCCGCAGAGGTAAGTACTGTACCTGTAGCATTAACTGCTGCAGAGGTAAGTACTGTACCAGCTGAATCAACTGCCGCAGAGGTAAGTACTGTACCTGTAGCATTAACTGCTGCAGAGGTAAGTACTGTACCAGCTGAATCAACTGCCGCAGAGGTAAGTACTGTACCTGTAGCATCAACTACTGCAACTGTACATGTAGCATCAACTGCTGCAGAGGTAAGTACTGTACCTGTAGCATCAACTGCTGCAGAAGTAAGTACTGTACCTGTAGCATCAACTGCTGCAGAAGTAAGTACTGTACCTGTAGCATCAACTGCCGCAGAGGTAAGTACTGTACCTGTAGCATCAACTGCCGCAGAGGTAAGTACTGTACCTGTAGCATCAACTGCTGCAGAGGTCAATAGATACTGCCTCTAGGTTAAGGTAGGTTTGGTTGTAATAGTTTTCAAAAAATTAGAAAGATTAAAATTTCATTTATTTCTTTCTGGTACACAGAGTAAAGAAGAAATATTGTAATCGTGCAAAAAATCAAAATCGAGATTTGAGTTGTAAAAATTTACTTTTGCTATTTTGTCTGTGAACACTATAACTTGAGTACAGTTAGGTTGATGAATTTCATACATTAGTATTATATCAAATTTGTAGTTCTGTAACAAATATTCAGTGATTTCCTGTAACCAGAAGTGGACCTTATTCAACTTTTGGATTTTCAGTATAGCAGCCACTGTATCCTAGAGTTGTGTGCTCTCTTGTGTTCTTGTTTAGAGTAGGCTGTGTTTATCTATGTGTAGGTAGTGTAGATAGCTATTTTAGTAATACTATTATAATGGGCCTTGATGTTTTGTGATGCTGCACGAAGCCATGCGGCAGTGTGTTCACAACGTAGGGCATTTGTATTTTGATGTACTACTGTATCTTGGTGTATCATTTTTGCAGATAAATCTTGTTTGTTAAAGATTTCAAATAATTTTTATCATATTTCCTGTTAAAAGGTTTCAAATAATTTGTATCATATTTCCTGTTAAAAGGTTTCAAATAATTTTTATCATATTTCCTGTTAAAAGGTTTCAAATAATTTTTATCATATTTCCTGTCAAATAATTTTGATCATATTTCCTGTTAAAAGGTAAAAATGATACGGCATAATTTCGACTTCATCAAAGTCAATGGCATCAACGCCAAGCACTCTGGAGTTCACAGGGCTCCTTCTCTGACTGCACTTGATGACCTGAAGAAAAGACAGCAAGATTTGTTAAGCCATCATCAGTTTGGAGCAGTTCCTGGCTAGTAAGTTTTATTAATGGGTCAGTTGACATTTTTTTTTATGTCACCAACTTTGATGTCACCAACTTTGATGTCGCCAAGTTTGATGTTGTCAACTTTGATGATGCCAACTTTGATGTCGCCAACTTTGATGTCGCCAACTTTGATGTCGCCAACTTTGATGTCGCCACTTGTCTTTACCCTTGGCTTATACCACTAGTGTACATTCTGCTTACACCACTAGTGTACGGTCTGCTTACACCAGTAGTGTACATTCTGCTTACACCACTAGTGTACAGTCTGCTTACACCACTAGTGTACAGTCTGCTTACACCACTAGTGTACAGTCTGCTTACACCACTAGTGTACATTCTGCTTACATCGCTAGTGTACAGTCTGCTTACACCACTAGTGTACATTCTGCTTACATCGCTAGTGTACATTCTGCTTACACCACTAGTGTACATTCTGCTTACACCACTAGTGTACATTCTGCTTACACCACTAGTGTACAGTCTGCTTACATTACTAGCGTACAGTCTGCTTACACCACTAGTGTACATTCTGCTTACACCACTAGTGTACAGTCTGCTTACATTACTAGCGTACAGTCTGCTTACACCACTAGTGTACATTCTGCTTACATCACTAGTGTACAATCTGCTTACACCACTAGTCTCCTACTTTGTCAAATGTTAACGTAAAAAATATATGCAATCATTTTTTTGGTCTTAGCCTGCAAAAAAGAAAAAATGTCTGGAGGGAACAAGAAGAGAGCAGGATAGCCAACAGCCCTGACCCCAACATGCCGGCAGGACACCGCCAGCTGCCTGAGGGGGAGAGGACAGAAACATTGGATCTCTTGCAACAAAGTAGGCCACATGTGCTTCATGTGCTGCTAGTCAGCTGATGTTTCAATCTGTCTTGTTTGTTTCATGTGCTAGTCAGCTGTTTCAATCTGTCTTGTTTGTTTCATTTTCAAGTCAGCTGTTTCAATCTGTCTTGTTTGTTTCATGTGCTAGTCAGCTGTTTCAATCTGTCTTGTTTGTTTCATTTTCAAGTCAGCTGTTTCAATCTGTCTTGTTTGTTTCATGTGCTAGTCAGCTGATGTTTCAATCTGTCTTGTTTGCCCCCCCCCCACCCTCTCTCATGGCTTAACCCCATGTATAAACCCCCGCCCCACCTATAGCTTAACTCAACAACTTGTGCCATACAGTCTACACTAGACCTATGTTGCTACAAAAATCTTTGTCAGATGTGAATCATCTCAGCTAACATTCACGATTAGTTTTCTTGCCTTTCAGAACAAAAGAATGTGATTGGCCAAATCCAGCGCCTGCCTATTGGTGCTGATACTGTTCGAGTGAAACAAGAGCGCCAGTCTTTAGAGAAACAGCTGACAGAAATTGAAGAGGCCATCAAAATATTCTCCAGGCCCAAGGTGTTTGTTCGCGTTGAATCATAAGACATCTCAAAGTTGGGAGAAGACAGGAGCCTCCAAAAGAATTTGACTTGTAAAAATGTAACAACCATCCCCACTAGCCGCTTAGTGTAATGGTTTCTTTCAAACTGAATTCCTGTTTTTTAAAAGTAACTTCCTGTTCAGCTCAGTTATGTTTTGAAAAGTAATAAGCATATTGACGTTAAATCATGTCATTCAAGCCCTCGTGGGGAAACATCCCATCCAGTAATTAGATTATTTCTAATCAAGCTGTAAAAATATAGAAGACATTCAATTAAGCTTCATTCCATAATCAGCATATACAATCCAGCCACATTACTTCTGTAAAAGAAAATTAGATTCACTATTTTTTTCTGGAAATTTCAGCATTTAGCCAAATTGAACCAAAACTTACAGAACTATTTTGTTTTCGTAATTGTATCATTTAAAATTGTCATATAATATTAATGTTGTTACAAATGGTCCTAATGTTTTAGAATCTTTTGTTTCAAATTGAAAAAATAAAAAATTGAGTTTTTCCATTTATTTGTTCATTTTTTACTTTCTTGTATACTAAGTATAGAGGAAGTATTGTAATCATCAGAAAAACTTAGTTTTGAAATTGTGTGTGTGTCTGTGAACATGATGACTTGACTACCATTACAGCTAGGTTGAAGAAATTTCATATTTAAGTATTATATCAAATTTGTAGCTCTGTATCAACTTTTCAGCGATTTCCAGTAACCAGAAGTGGACCTTATTCTACTTTTGTTTTTTCAGAAGCTTATAACTTGAGTACTGTTTCTGAAAGACAAAATTTCACATATTAGTAAAAGATGTAATTCTCTGTTTTCTGTCAAATTTGGAGTGCAGGTCAAAAGTGTGCTTTGTTTGGTTGGGCTGTAGTGGCCAGCTCTGTAGCCTAGTGGCCACTGCTGTAGCCTATATATTAATAGTTTATATAGTCTATATATATATATATCATATATTATATATATATATATATATATAGGGCCTATATATATATATATATATATATATATATATATATATATATATATATATATATATATATAAATGTCCAGATATTCCTTCTAGATTGACCTTAAAATTGTGTTTGATTATAATTTATATTTTTTAAAGCATAGCTTTACAAAAATTTGGTCAGATAGAATAATTTCATAACGTCTCCCCATATCATATTAAGTAGTGCTGTAAACAAAGTGAGTTCTAGCACTGCTTTTCTTTATCCAATGGGAACTGCAGGATTGTAGTAGCTGTGGCTTTTATATTTTAGTGTATTTTATGTTTCTGTGTGATCACTCCACTTTACACACTCAGATCAGACAAAGTAAACTTAAAGAATCGTGGGCCCCTGACTGCTGCCCTCCTTCCCTCCCTTAATCTACTACCCCCCCCCCCCCCACTTCATCACCGTCTCCATTCAGCAATACTAAATAAAGTAAATATGCACTACACATTACACTGCGTTTACACGTGCGACATGTCTAGAAAAAAAAACTTCACCGTAAGCTAATTTTATCAGAACATGTAGCGATCAGACTACTGTGTATAGGGGTCAGGCTACTGTATTGGGGGTCATACTCACTTATTGCGAAGTTTTTTTTTTTTTATACGTGATTGAGATAACATATTTTGTTTCGTTCAAGGTAGGCCTACGTTCACGTATTTTGTCTTTCAAGATGGCGACTTGCATTAACACAACACTCAGGTCCAAGATCACTTGACTTAAATCATTTGGTGTTATATTTATAAAGTTGTTTAGCTCTAAAGTAGATCTAGAAATGTATATAGATCTAGAATATAGATCTAGGCCTACTACATTTTATAACTAATAAATCTATCAGCCTTATACGGCAGTATCTAGATCTAGACGTCTAGATCTACTGATCTAGGATACCAGCCTCTGACGTAGGCTGTTTGATGAGAATTACAGAATGATTTTTTTATTAAAAATGTATCAATAATAGCTAGAACACTAGTAAACTAAGCTAATTTAGCATATTTTAACTTTCTGTGCAAAGTCATTATTACTGAAAAAAATTCCAAAGTCAGGTCAGCCTGTGGCACCCTCCACTGAACGTGACAGAAGGAAAAAAAAAACTTCACCCGTGACCTTCATTAAAACAGAATTTGCTTTTGTTTTATTTTTATTTTTGGTAAACATGTGCTTAATCTTACCCAATAAGTGATAAAAATTTGAAAATTAATTTTAATTACTGTTGTAAAGTGAGATAAACAGCTTAATAAACACATGCTTTCTTGAGGGGGTGTGGCCCGGGTGTGGCACATCGCAATTATAACTTTATATTTCTGTGTTTTATGACTATATTTGTTCACAATTAGCATGCTATGTTTTTTAAATTGATAAAAGGTAAGTATACCAAGTTACAAAATCCGCAATCTAACTAATAATTCATACTTTCAATTTAAAAAATAATAAAAACGATCATCAACGAAGAAAGCGTAAACATTCTATTTTTAGGTATGACATAAAAAACAGTCATAAATCTAGCCAAATGATTGGATTCTTGCGCGGCACACATTTTCCCGCGCCTCGTTTTCACCAAACAAGAATATAATAAAATGGCATTATTACTTACACCCTCAAAAGCATTGTTTCCACCCTAATTATATTAAACAATTCTATTTTTATTTGATAGTAAAGATGATATACAAATTGTATATTACAATAAAGTTATTGTAGAACGCACCTGCTTTTAGTTTATTCGACTTGAAACGCAAGCTAGGTCAGCGTGACTTTCTCTCGACTGCCTCGTTAAATACAAATAAAGAAATTAGGTCAAGCTGCCATTATTAAAATGTTAATTATTCGCCCCGTAAATACATGGGCAGTTTCGAGTGAAAATCTATCCGATTACGATACAATCCTTAGTTTTAACTATCATGTACTTCATGAGAAAGAAATGATTCGATATTTTATATGGCCGCCCAAAACACGGGTGCTTCAAAACCGCGAGAACGAGATTTCACGAATCGAAAAACCTACTCTGACGCCTCTGTCTCAGACTCACAGCTGTCTGTAATCTCAGTTTAATGATATTAATCCATCGTTTCAGCCCTTTCTTTCAGGCTTCAGGTAGGCCGGTTGAGTGAGATTTGATTGACCTTAGGTAGGGTAAAATCGGCCGATACTAGAATCCATTACAATATAGTAATATAGACTTTTATTAAAGCCGTAGAACTCCATTTTAGTGTATTTTATTCTCCGCTTAACATTTGCCTCCAGTTGAGCATATTTTTATTTTATTAGGCCTAGGCCTATAGGTAGGCATTTCAACTTCCGCTGTTTCGATACTGTATGACCACATCCGGACTTTTTCATCGTACTTGTTGAAATTCGCCATTTTTTAACATGTTAATTCTCGCCATCGGAATCGAAGAATAAAATGTATTCGATATGAATAATTGAGTTGAATTTCATCTTTTATACATCATACTAATAAATGAATTAGCTCACGTTTTACATTGTCCGATACCGAAAGCGATCAACGATAATAGCAAATATTTGTCGAAATGCCGACGCTACCGAACTGGCGCATTGACAACTATATTTCAGATATAAAAAATCATCTAAATTGCATGAAAATAGGCATAAATAGCATGCCAACCATTTGGATAAATAGAAATGTCGATTTGAAGGGTTTTTAAGCACGGGGCAATGAGGAGTAGCGTGATAAAACTCATAGGGTAGGAACGAGAGAGCGTAATTTCATAATGGCGGCCGAGTTACGAGATATTAATAGATATATGCATACGATGTTTTTAATAGCTGTTTGTTTTTAAATGGACTGTTAAAATAAAATGGGCTTTAAAATAAATATACTGTAGGGCCTAGATCTAAATAAATTATTAAATTAAAAATGGAAAGAATGTAACTAATTGCTGCCTAAATTATAAAATTTTAAATTAGCCAGATTTTTATTAACCTTCTTAATACCACAAGGTTAACTAGATCTAGCAAACTAGCATTAACGAATTGCAGATAAATAGATTATGAAGGCATTTTCAAGTAGAAAGAAATCTATATTTATTGCAAACAGTTTTAAAAAAAATAGAATCTAGATCTAGATGGAAATGAAAACACTAAAGTAATATTGGGTCTAGAGATGTGTAATATTAATATATAAAAAAAACTATTAGGCCTAAATGTAAATACTGACAGGCCTATCTAGATCTATAAAGGGCCTAAATTAAAAATAACAATGCCCAATTTTATAAGCTGCACTGCATTACAGTTTTAGTTATAGGCTACTATAATAGAAAGAAAACATGAACACTTTAATTAATGTCATTTTAAGAATTTATTACAGGATACGTCAACTTCAGTAAACATTTTGTAAATAAGAATACTGTGAAATGTCAATCTTTGAGTTTTAGCACATCTCAACACTTTTCATCAGAAACATTACAAGAACCAAAATTTTCTAAATTAATAATAACATTTTTACCATGTTATACACGGACACAAATCCAATGTTTATGGCAAATCGTTAAGTATCTTGATCATATTGTGCTGTTTTTGTAAGTTCTAACTCTATACATTACCTGTACAATATGTATACTAGCATTCTTATTACTAACACCAGAATCAATATATGTAAAGTTTAATCTTTATATTTATAGTAGCAACAAAGAAGTACCATATATTAGCCTGTAGTTAATCATCATAGTCTAATTGCGCTGTACCATATTCAAGTTCACTATTTATAGTTTTCCTCTAGCTATGTATATTTTACTAGTATGTTTGTATTTTTTACATTCTCTAGTCCTAATATTTAAAGTTTCATGATGGTATATGGAATAGCAACCTAGCTGTGCAGTATGTAAATCCTCTTATGGCAGTCACTATAGAACAGTGCCACACCCCTTAATTTGACTTCATTATTTCTAGTTATCTCTTTTCTAATTTTTATTTTATTTGTAGACTTCTATTGCCTATATCATTGAGTACAAATGTGCTATCTTTAATAGCAACATTGGTATGCAAGTTTAAAGCCAATCACAGGTCTCGAATGCAGTTTACAATGAAACATAACAAGTTAAACACATAACTTTGAAAATTCATATAAAAAAAATTATTAGGCCTAGAATGATAAATTTAGTATTTTTATCAATGGGGTATATTATAGGATTAATATGTGTCCATTTTTAACACGTTTTTCTTAACTCAGCTTCGCGTTTGTTTGTTTGTTGTTAAAATTGACAACGAAAATTAGCCCACTTCTGATTGCTCTAGAGATCTGAAATTCGGCATGCAGGCTATTTTCGCCTAACAATTTCAGATGCAATCATAAAAACTAGCAATTAGAGACCTAAATTAGCTTAATTAAATTACGCCCCAAGGACCCTAAAATTGAGGACATGATTTCTAAAGATACCGACAAGACTGGAGGCCTATTGACACAGTTACTTCAGCCCCAATCGATGTGAGCGCGCTGGCCGTGATCGTATAGTGGTTAGTACTTCGCGTTGTGGCAGCGACAACCCAGGTTTGAATCCTGGTCACGGCATGTAGGCTGCTGTGGGTCTCGCACTGCCAAGCTCACATAACAATTTCAGATGCAATCATAAAAACTAGCAATTAGAGACCTAAATAAATTAGCTTAATTAAATTACGCCCCTTCTCTGTTTAAAGCGTATCGGTCGCTCAAGATTTTTAGTCCGTGTATTTAAAAACACTTAGTCAAGTCATACTTAATCAAGTCATTAGATAAAGTAGAAAATAAACTATATAAAAAACTTTTTAAAAACCACGTTTTTCATGTGTAGCAACGGACTAAAAAGGAGAAAATAAAATACTTAAAAAAAACTTTAAAAAAAAAACACGTTTTTCTTGTGGACTAAAAAGTAGAAAATAAATTTTTCTTCCGACCCTAGGGGATCTACCAATGGCTGCTCGTAGATTTTGTTTTTCCTCGAGCTGTGCAGGTTCTTGTGATGACTGTTCATACATTTGATGACCAAAAACATGGGTCGGGCAGATGGGTCGGGAAATTTGATGGTGAACGTACCCACGTTTTTTGTCATCAAATGTATGAACAGTCATCACAAGAACCTGCACAGCTCGAGGAAGCACAAAATCTACGAGCATTCATTGGTAGATCCCCTAGTGTCGCCCCCCCCCCCCCCGCATTGCGGGGTCTGGCGGCACTGTAGTTCCGCCCCTGGCACCTTGTGTAATTCCTGTATCATTGACTGTAATAAATACAATCATTGAATAGTATTCTCTATACCTCTTTTAGGTTGTGCTGAACTTGCCTAAGTGTTACCATAGTTGTATCAACAGGTTGTGCTGAACTTGCCTAAGTGTTACCATAGTTGTATCAACAGAATTCCTGCACATGTTTTTTTTTGGCCAATGCCTTTTTTCCCTGTACAATAAGTGAGTTATTGAATATCTCTTTAAAATTGTATATAATTAGTTGAAGTTGGCATCAGTCTTTTATTATGTCAAACAACGAACCCAAAGACTGGACTGCTCACAGTCTTGCTTCTTGACTTTACTGACAGTCAGAGGATAGCACAAACAAGGTAGATATGGTCATCTTATTCATTAAAATACTGTTGTAAATATCTCACAGCTACATAATGTGTTTACAAATATTAGCTTAGGAATAAACTCAGACCCGTTGGTGAAGAAAATGCAATGACTAGATCTAGTGCTGACATTTTTTAATACAGCTTTTATTCTATCAACGGTTCATACAAGTTTTCACATTTCAGAAAGATAATGTTGCTGCGTGTTCTGCGAAGTGCTTTAGTGCTACTGTCCTCAGCTGTTGTTATCCCTTACACTATTGCTATAGTTAGTAATATATTGCACGGTTGGCCGCAGTCTAAATATAAGTATAGACGGGCTTTAAGCCCAAGAAAAGTATATGGTCTAAATTACGTCTTATTTCAAATGTTGAGAGACAAAACAAAGTTTTTGACACTCTATTTCAAATGGAGGAAATTCTACAAAAAGGCAGATCCTAGCAAGCTGTATAAGGTAAATGTTTTAATGCGTTTATAGTCAGATAATATAGTTGTTCCTTGTATAAAGTAAACATTTTTTAAAAATCAAACTTTTTTATCATCTGAAATGATAGTTTTTCTTTAGATACAGTGTGAATATTAAAATTAGAAAAAGAAAATCATCATGTATTGATTTTCCACAGAACATTGCTTTTGGTAGAAATGATTGTACTCTGGATGTGTATTTGCCTGGGCCGAGGGAGGCATGTGCCAATCTACCAGTGGTTATATTTGTGTATGGAGGGGCATGGAGCAGTGGAGATAAAAGCTCTTATGGTCTTCTGTGTTCTAACATTGTGTCACACACTCAATCCATTGCAGTCTGTCCTAACTATTCAACATACCCTAAGGTAAATATCTCACTCAATCCATTGCAGTTTGTCCTAACTATTCAACATACCCTAAGGTAAATATCTCAATCCATTGCAGTCTGTCCTAACTATTCAACATACCCTAAGGTAAATATCTCAATCCATTGCAGTCTGTCCTAACTATTCAACATACCCTAAGGTAAATATCTCAATCCATTGCAGTTTGTCCAAACTATTCAACATACCCTAAGGTAAATATCTCAATCCATTGCAGTCTGTCCTAACTATTCAACATACCCTAAGGTAAATATCTCACTCAATCCATTGCAGTCTGTCCTAACTATTCAACATACCCTAAGGTAAATATCTCAATCCATTGCAGTCTGTCCTAACTATTCAACATACCCTAAGGTAAATATCTCAATCCATTGCAGTCTGTCCTAACTATTCAACATACCCTAAGGTAAATATCACACTCAATCCATTGCAGTCTGTCCTAACTATTCAACATACCCTAAGGTAAATATCTCAATCCATTGCAGTCTGTCCTAACTATTCAACATACCCTAAGGTAAATATCTCACTCAATCCATTGCAGTCTGTCCTAACTATTCAACATACCCTAAGGTAAATATCTCACTCAATCCATTGCAGTCTGTCCTAACTATTCAACATACCCTAAGGTAAATATCTCACTCAATCCATTGCAGTTTGTCCTAACTATTCAACATACCCTAAGGTAAATATCTCAATCCATTGCAGTCTGTCCTAACTATTCAACATACCCTAAGGTAAATATCTCAATCCATTGCAGTCTGTCCTAACTATTCAACATACCCTAAGGTAAATATCTCAATCCATTGCAGTCTGTCCTAACTATTCAACATACCCTAAGGTAAATATCTCACTCAATCCATTGCAGTCTGTCCTAACTATTCAACATACCCTAAGGTAAATATCTCACTCAATCCATTGCAGTTTGTCCTAACTATTCAACATACCCTAAGGTAAATATCTCAATCCATTGCAGTCTGTCCTAACTATTCAACATACCCTAAGGTAAATATCTCAATCCATTGCAGTTTGTCCTAACTATTCAACATACCCTACGGTAAATATCTCACTCAATCCATTGCAGTCTGTCCTAACTATTCAACATACCCTAAGGTAAATATCTCAATCCATTGCAGTCTGTCCTAACTATTCAACATACCCTAAGGTAAATATCTCACTCAATCCATTGCAGTCTGTCCTAACTATTCAACATACCCTAAGGTAAATATCTCAATCCATTGCAGTCTGTCCTAACTATTCAACATACCCTAAGGTAAATATCTCACTCAATCCATTGCAGTCTGTCCTAACTATTCAACATACCCTAAGGTAAATATCTCAATCCATTGCAGTCTGTCCTAACTATTCAACATACCCTAAGGTAAATATCTCACTCAATCCATTGCAGTCTGTCCTAACTATTCAACATACCCTAAGGTAAATATCTCAATCCATTGCAGTTTGTCCTAACTATTCAACATACCCTAAGGTAAATATCTCAATCCATTGCAGTTTGTCCTAACTATTCAACATACCCTAAGGTAAATATCTCACTCAATCCATTGCAGTCTGTCCTAACTATTCAACATACCCTAAGGTAAATATCTCACTCAATCCATTGCAGTCTGTCCTAACTATTCAACATACCCTAAGGTAAATATCTCACTCAATCCATTGCAGTTTGTCCTAACTATTCAACATACCCTAAGGTAAATATCTCAATCAATTGCAGTTTGTCCTAACTATTCAACATACCCTAAGGTAAATATCACACTCAATCCATTGCAGTTTGTCCTAACTATTCAACATACCCTAAGGTAAATATCACACTCAATCCATTGCAGTTTGTCCAAACTATTCAACATACCCTAAGGTAAATATCTCAATCCATTGCAGTCTGTCCTAACTATTCAACATACCCTAAGGTAAATATCTCACTCAATCCATTGCAGTCTGTCCTAACTATTCAACATACCCTAAGGTAAATATCTCAATCCATTGCAGTTTGTCCTAACTATTCAACATACCCTAAGGTAAATATCTCAATCCATTGCAGTTTGTCCTAACTATTCAACATACCCTAAGGTAAATATCTCACTCAATCCATTGCAGTTTGTCCTAACTATTCAACATACCCTAAGGTAAATATCTCAATCCATTGCAGTCTGTCCTAACTATTCAACATACCCTAAGGTAAATATCTCACTCAATCCATTGCAGTTTGTCCTAACTATTCAACATACCCTAAGGTAAATATCTCAATCCATTGCAGTCTGTCCTAACTATTCAACATACCCTAAGGTAAATATCTCAATCCATTGCAGTCTGTCCTAACTATTCAACATACCCTAAGGTAAATATCTCAATCCATTGCAGTTTGTCCTAACTATTCAACATACCCTAAGGTAAATATCTCAATCCATTGCAGTTTGTCCTAACTATTCAACATACCCTAAGGTAAATATCTCACTCAATCCATTGCAGTCTGTCCTAACTATTCAACATACCCTAAGGTAAATATCTCAATCCATTGCAGTTTGTCCTAACTATTCAATCAAATCTGCTCTGTCTGTCCACTACTGGCAACTCTTCCATTCTAGCCTTTAAAAGAAAATGAACTATTAATTTTGGCAAAAAAAAAGCTGTGTTTTAGAGGTATTAGGATGCCATGATAAAAAGCTGAATTTTTCAGGGCTATGTCGATGATATGATTCAAGATATTGTTGACTGTATCAGCTGGGTGATTGATAACATTCAGGACTACGGTGGAGATAAAGTAAGTCCTCCCTACTAATCCTCCTGCAAGTTTATACTACTCACCTATCTATTTTTCTATCTTTTTGTTATTTTTAGAATAAAATCATCCTGTATTTTAAGAATTTGTTATTTTTAGAATAAAATCATCCTGTATTTTACGAATTTGTTATTTTTAGAATAAAATCATCCTGTATTTTACGAATTTGTTATTTTTAGAATAAAATCATCCTGTATTTTAAGAATTTGTTATTTTTAGAATAAAATCATCCTGTATTTTAAGAATTTGTTATTTTTAGAATAAAATCATCCTGTATTTTAAGAATTTGTTATTTTTAGAATAAAATCATCCTGTATTTTAAGAATTTGTTATTTTTAGAATAAAATCATCCTGTATTTTAAGAATTTGTTATTTTTAGAATAAAATCATCCTGTATTTTAAGAATTTGTTATTTTTAGAATAAAATCATCCTGTATTTTACGAATTTGTTATTTTTAGAATAAAATCATCCTGTATTTTACGAATTTGTTATTTTTAAAATAAAATCATCCTGTATTTTACGAATTTGTTATTTTTAGAATAAAATCATCCTGTATTTTAAGAATTTGTTATTTTTAGAATAAAATCATCATGTATTTTAAGAATTTGTTATTTTTAGAATAAAATCATCCTGTATTTTAAGAATTTGTTATTTTTAGAATAAAATCATCCTGTATTTTAAGAATTTGTTATTTTTAGAATAAAATCATCCTGTATTTTAAGAATTTGTTATTTTTAGAATAAAATCATCCTGTATTTTAAGAATTTGTTATTTTTAGAATAAAATCATCTTGTATTTTAAGAATTTGTTATTTTTAGAATAAAATCATCCTGTATTTTAAGAATTTGTTATTTTTAGAATAAAATCATCCTGTATTTTAAGAATTTGTTATTTTAGAATAAAATCATCCTGTATTTTAAGAATTTGTTATTTTTAGAATAAAATCATCCTGTATTTTAAGAATTTGTTATTTTTAGAATAAAATCATCCCGTATTTTAAGAATTTGTTATTTTTAGAATAAAATCATCCCGTATTTTAAGAATTTGTTATTTTTAGAATAAAATCATCCTGCTGGGCCACTCGGCAGGGGCCCACCTGTCAATGATGGCCATCCTAGAGCTGCTGCATGATGAGAGGCTGAGTGTCCAGCCGTCCTTCAAGTTTACACCAGCTGGGGGACCGCTAGAGTTGCTGGACTTTGCTGACTCACACTACAATGTTTTAGACAGGAGGAGGGAGGGGCTGGAGGACAGCTCGGGCTCCTCCGAATCATTTGCTGTTGTTAGTGAAAACGGCTCTTCTTTAGAACAGTCAACTGTGGCAGATAGTGGCTCCAATCACTTCAGTAATAGCAGCTCTTCTCATTCAGACAGTAAGGTTCATGTCTATGACATCTCTTCATACAGTAAGGTTCTTGTCTATGACAGCTCTTCTCATTCAGACAGTAAGGTTCATGTCTATGACAGCTCTTCAGACAGTAAGGTTCATGTCTATGACAGCTCTTCATACAGTAAGGTTCTTGTCTATGACATCTCTTCCTACAGTAAGGTTCATGTCTATGACAGCTCTTCATACAGTAAGGTTCATGTCTATGACAGCTCTTCAGACAGTAAGGTTCATGTCTATGACAGCTCTTCAGACAGTAAGGTTCATGTCTATGACAGCTCTTCATACAGTAAGGTTCATGTCTATGACAGCTCTTCATACAGTAAGGTTCATGTCTATGACAGCTCTTCATACAGTAAGGTTCATGTCTATGACAGCTCTTCAGACAGTAAGGTTCATGTCTATGACAGCTCTTCAGACAGTAAGGTTCATGTCTATGACCGCTCTTCAGACAGTAAGGTTCATGTCTATGACAGCTCTTCATACAGTAAGGTTCATGTCTATGACATCTCTTCATACAGTAAGGTTCATGTCTATGACAGCTCTTCATACAGTAAGGTTCATGTCTATGACAGCTCTTCATACAGTAAGGTTCATGTCTATGACAGCTCTTCAGACAGTAAGGTTCATGTCTATGACAGCTCTTCAGACAGTAAGGTTCATGTCTATGACAGCTCTTCAGACAGTAAGGTTCATGTCTATGACAGCTCTTCATACAGTAAGGTTCATGTCTATGACAGCTCTTCATACAGTAAGGTTCATGTCTATGACAGCTCTTCAGACAGTAAGGTTCATGTCTATGACAGCTCTTCATACAGTAAGGTTCATGTCTATGACAGCTCTTCATACAGTAAGGTTCTTGTCTATGACAGCTCTTCAGACAGTAAGGTTCATGTCTATGACAGCTCTTCATACAGTAAGGTTCATGTCTATGACAGCTCTTCATACAGTAAGGTTCATGTCTATGACAGCTCTTCATACAGTAAGGTTCTTGTCTATGACAGCTCTTCATACAGTAAGGTTCATGTCTATGACAGCTCTTCATACAGTAAGGTTCATGTCTATGACAGCTCTTTCCATTCATACAGTAAGGTTCATGTCTATGACAGCTCTTCATACAGTAAGGTTCTTGTCTATGACAGCTCTTCAGACAGTAACGTTCATGTCTATGACAGCTCTTCATACAGTAAGGTTCATGTCTATGACAGCTCTTCATACAGTAAGGTTCATGTCTATGACAGCTCTTCATACAGTAAGGTTCATGTCTATGACAGCTCTTCAGACAGTAAGGTTCTTGTCTATGACAGCTCTTCAGACAGTAAGGTTCTTGTCTATGACAGCTCTTCATACAGTAAGGTTCATGTCTATGACAGCTCTTCAGACAGCAAGGTTCATGTCTATGACAGCTCTTCATACAGTAAGGTTCATGTCTATGACAGCTCTTCAGACAGTAAGGTTCATGTCTATGACCGCTCTTCAGACAGTAAGGTTCTTGTCTATGACAGCTCTTTCCATTCATACAGTAAGGTTCAAGTCTATGACAGCTCTTCTCATTCATACAGTAAGGTTCTTGTCTATGACATCTCTTCATACAGTAAGGTTCTTGTCTATGACAGCTCTTCATACAGTAAGGTTCTTGTCTATGACAGCTCTTCATACAGTAAGGTTCTTGTCTATGACAGCTCTTCATACAGTAAGGTTCATGTCTATGACAGCTCTTCAGACAGTAAAGTTCATGTTTGTTGGGATTTTCTTTCTTTAAGGTAATTCATCCCAAGAGAAAACTAGATTTGAGACAGAGAAAAGCTGTGTTAGACTTGAGACAGACAGCAGTGCTGGTGGAGACGCAGAATGTCTGCTAGAGAAATCACAAGCTGCGGAGGCTGTAGCAGAGGATGAAGGTAGTCAGGTTTCTTTTGTACAATTACTTAATGTCAGTACACATACCTACTGACCCATGTGCCTGCAGACCCACGTGCCTGCAGACCCACATACCTACTGACCCACATGTCCACTGACCCAAATGTCCACTGACCCACACGTCCACTGACCCACATGTCCACTGACCCACATGTCCACTGACCCACATGTCCACTGACCCATACGTCCACTGACCCATACGTCCACTGACCCACATGTCCACTGACCCACATGTCCACTGACCCACATGTCCACTGACCCATACATCCACTGACCCATACGTCCACTGACCCACATGTCCACTGACCCAAACGTCCACTGACCCACACGTCCACTGACCCACATGTCCACTGACCCACATGTCCACTGACCCACACGTCCACTGACCCACATACCTACTGACCCAAACGTCCACTGACCCACACGTCCACTGACCCACACGTCCACTGACCCACATGTCCACTGACCCACACGTCCACTGACCCACACGTCCTATTGACCCACACGTCCACTGACCCACATGTCCACTGACCCACATGTCCACTGACCCACATGTCCACTGACCCACATGTCCACTGACCCACATACCTACTGACCCAACCGTCCACTGACCCACACGTCCACTGACCCACACGTCCACTGACCCACATGTCCACTGACCCACACGTCCACTGACCCACATACCTACTGACCCAAACGTCCACTGACCCACACGTCCACTGACCCACATACCTACTGACCCAAACGTCCACTGACCCATACATCCACTGACCCAAACGTCCACTGACCCAAACGTCCACTGACCCACACGTCCACTGACCCAAACGTCCACTGACCCAAACGTCCACTGACCCACATGTCCACTGACCCACATGTCCACTGACCCATACGTCCACTGACCCAAACGTCCACTGACCCATACATCCACTGACCCACATACCTACAGACCCACACGTCCACTGACCCATACGTCCACTGACCCATATGTCCACTGACCCACATGTCCACTGACCCACATGTCCACTGACCCACATGTCCACTGACCCACATACCTACTGACCCATACGTCCACTGACCCACACGTCCACTGACCCAAACGTCCACTGACCCACATGTCCACTGACCCATACGTCCACTGACCCAAACGTCCACTGACCCACATGTCCACTGACCCACATGTCCACTGACCCACATGTCCACTGACCCAAACGTCCACTGACCCAAACGTCCACTGACCCACATACCTACTGACCCAAACGTCCACTGACCCATACGTCCACTGACCCATACGTCCACTGACCCAAACGTCCACTGACCCATACGTCCACTGACCCACATACCTACTGACCCATACGTCCACTGACCCAAACGTCCACTGACCCAAACGTCCACTGACCCACATACCTACTGACCCAAACGTCCACTGACCCATACGTCCACTGACCCAAACGTCCACTGACTCACACGTCCACTGACCCACATGTCCACTGACCCAAACGTCCACTGACCCACACGTCCACTGACCCACATGTCCACTGACCCACACGTCCACTGACCCACACGTCCACTGACCCACATGTCCACTGACCCACATACCTACTGACCCACACGTCCACTGACCCACACGTCCACTGACCCACACGTCCACTGACCCACACGTCCACTGACCCACATGTCCACTGACCCACATGTCCACTGACCCACATGTCCACTGACCCACACGTCCACTGACCCACACGTCCACTGACCCACATGTCCACTGACCCACACGTCCACTGACCCACATGTCCACTGACCCACATGTCCACTGACCCACACGTCCACTGACCCACACGTCCACTGACCCATATGTCCACTGACCCACACGTCCACTGACCCACACGTCCACTGACCCACATGTCCACTGACCCAAACGTCCACTGACCCAAACGTCCACTGACCCCTACATCCACTGACCCACATACCTACAGACCCACACGTCCACTGACCCATACGTCCACTGACCCATATGTCCACTGACCCACATGTCCACTGACCCACATGTCCACTGACCCACATACCTACTGACCCATACGTCCACTGACCCACACGTCCACTGACCCAAACGTCCACTGACCCACATGTCCACTGACCCATACGTCCACTGACCCAAACGTCCACTGACCCACATGTCCACTGACCCACATGTCCACTGACCCACATGTCCACTGACCCAAACGTCCACTGACCCAAACGTCCACTGACCCACATACCTACTGACCCAAACGTCCACTGACCCATACGTCCACTGACCCATACGTCCACTGACCCAAACGTCCACTGACCCATACGTCCACTGACCCACATACCTACTGACCCAAACGTTCACTGACCCATACGTCCACTGACCCAAACGTCCACTGACCCAAACGTCCATTGACCCACATACCTACTGACCCAAACGTCCACTGACCCATACGTCCACTGACCCAAACGTCCACTGACTCACACGTCCACTGACCCACATGTCCACTGACCCAAACGTCCACTGACCCACACGTCCACTGACCCACATGTCCACTGACCCACACGTCCACTGACCCACACGTCCACTGACCCACATGTCCACTGACCCACATACCTACTGACCCACACGTCCACTGACCCACACGTCCACTGACCCACACGTCCACTGACCCACATGTCCACTGACCCACATGTCCACTGACCCACATGTCCACTGACCCACATGTCCACTGACCCACACGTCCACTGACCCACACGTCCACTGACCCACATGTCCACTGACCCACACGTCCACTGACCCACATGTCCACTGACCCACATGTCCACTGACCCACACGTCCACTGACCCACACGTCCACTGACCCATATGTCCACTGACCCACACGTCCACTGACCCACACGTCCACTGACCCACATGTCCACTGACCCAAACGTCCACTAACCCAAACGTCCACTGACCCAAACGTCCACTGACCCAAACGTCCACTGACCCACACGTCCACTGACCCAAACGTCCACTGACCCATACGTCCACTGACCCACACGTCCACTGACCCAAACGTCCACTGACCCACATGTCCACTGACCCATACGTCCACTGACCCAAACGTCCACTGACCCACATGTCCACTGACCCACATGTCCACTGACCCACATACCTACTGACCCATACGTCCACTGACCCACACGTCCACTGACCCAAACGTCCACTGACCCACATGTCCACTGACCCAAACGTCCACTGACCCACATGTCCACTGACCCACATGTCCACTGACCCACATACCTACTGACCCAAACGTCCACTGACCCACACGTCCACTGACCCACATACCTACTGACCCACATGTCCACTGACCCACACGTCCACTGACCCACATACCTACTGACCCAAACGTCCACTGACCCACATGTCCACTGACCCACATACCTACTGAGAAGATCATTAAAGTGACCAGTAAATAAATACAATTTAAAAAAAAAAGGTTATTGCCCTTTTTGCACTGTATGTGGAGTCTATATATAGCCCAACACATAGACATGTCTATAGTTAGCCCAACACATAGACATGTCTATAGTTAGCCCAGCACATAGACGTGTCTATAGCTAGCCCAGCACATAGACATGTCTATAGTTAGCCCAACACATAGACATGTCTATAGCTAGCCCAGCACATAGACATGTCTATAGTTAGCCCAACACATAGACATGTCTATTGTTAGCCCAGCACATAGACATGTATGTGACAGAAATGAGGCCAGCACTACTAAGACTTGATGATGGATGAGTTTAATGTTTTGAACAGCTGTCAATGTTGAGGCAAGGTCCAGAAGCCACTCTGGGAGTCAGGGTGATGATGAAGATGATGAAAGTGGAGATAATGATTCTGTCATAACTGTACGACCTAAAGACATTGATAGACACGCCACCCTTGTTGATATGTGTAAAGCAGTCAAAGCCTTTATTGGTATGTCTTTGTGCTGTCATAGTTTCAACATTTACATGGGCTGCGTCAAGTTACTCATGGTATGCTTCATATGACATTTGTTTCTGATGTGACATTTGGTATACTAAATATGACATTTGATATGCTTGATATGACATTTAGCATGGTTTATGTGTTATTTGGTATACTTTATGTGACATTTGGTATGCTTGAAATGACATTAGGTATACTTGATATGACATTTGATATGCTTGATATGACATTTAGCATGGATTATATGACATTTAGTATGCTTGAAGTGAGATTTGGTATTTGTCACCAGGTTTGGCTGGGGTCTATAGCATTGGAGATCATTTCAAACATGAGTGGGGGCGTGGCATAGAAGATATTTCCTGTATGTGTCGAGCCCACTATGGAGAAGATCATTTTGTTCGGTTTTCTCCAAAAGAAATCATTTTAAGTTTGGGTAGATGCTTAAGGTAAGATCTAGACTGATGTTTGAAAGCAGTAAGATTGATGCTTAAGGTAAGATCTAGACTGTTGTTTGAAAGCAGTAAGATTGATGCTTCAGGTAAGATCTAGACTGATGTTTGAAAGCAGTAAGATTGATGCTTAAGGTAAGATCTAGACTGATGTTTGAAAGCAGTAAGATTGATGCTTAAGGTAAGATCTAGACTGAAATGATGTTTGAAAGCAGTAAGATTGATGCTTAAGGTAAGATCTAGACTGATGTTTGAAAGCAGTAAGATTGATGCTTAAGGTAAGATCTAGACTGATGTTTGAAAGCAGTAAGATTGATGCTTAAGGTAAAATCTAGACTGATGTTTGAAAGCAGTAAGATTGATGCTTCAGGTAAGATCTAGACTGATGTTTGAAAGCAGTAAGATTGATGCTTAAGGTAAGATCTAGACTGATGTTTGAAAGCAGTAAGATTGATGCTTCAGGTAAGATCTAGACTGATGTTTGAAAGCAGTAAGATTGATGCTTCAGGTAAGATCTAGACTGATGTTTGAAAGCAGTAAGATTGATGCTTCAGGTAAGATCTAGACTGATGTTTGAAAGCAGTAAGATTGATGCTTCAGGTAAGATCTAGACTGATGTTTGAAAGCAGTAAGATTGATGCTTCAGGTAAGATCTAGACTGATGTTTGAAAGCAGTAAGATTGATGCTTCAGGTAAGATCTAGACTGATGTTTGAAAGCAGTAAGATTGATGCTTAAGGTAAGATCTAGACTGATGTTTGAAAGCAGTAAGATTGATGCTTCAGGTAAGATCTAGACTGATGTTTGAAAGCAGTAAGATTGATGCTTAAGGTAAGATCTAGACTGATGTTTGAAAGCAGTAAGATTGATGCTTAAGGTAAGATCTAGACTGATGTTTGAAAGCAGTAAGATTGATGCTTAAGGTAAGATCTAGACTGATGTTTGAAAGCAGTAAGATTGATGCTTCAGGTAAGATCTAGACTGATGTTTGAAAGCAGTAAGATTGATGCTTAAGGTAAGATCTAGACTGATGTTTGAAAGCAGTAAGATTGATGCTTCAGGTAAGATCTAGACTGATGTTTGAAAGCAGTAAGATTGATGCTTCAGGTAAGATCTAGACTGATGTTTGAAAGCAGTAAGATTGATGCTTAAGGTAAGATCTAGACCACGGGTTCCCAACCTGGGGGTCGCGAAGGTCTTTCTGGGGGGTCGCCAACTGGTATACTAAACCTTAGTAATTTGAAACAAAACATAAATATTTAGAAGAATTTTTGAAATTCGGCTTCATTAACATCACTGGAAATGTAATAGAGAAGAAACAAAGCGCACTGTACAAAGTTGTTCTCAGTCACGAATCTATTAAATCTTCAAAACTAAAACTCATTTGAGACGAGTCATTCGGAACACACCAAAAAATATATGGAGTTTTTTCGTCGGTAAGAAGCTAGTTGCAAACGCCAGAGACTTGATCGAACAGGAAGTTTTCACCAGCATTAGTGCAAGCATCACATGAAGTCGCGATAGAAAATGCCAAGCAAAAAAAAAAAATAAAAAAAAATCTATAGGAGAAAATCTCATCAAACGCTGCATGTCCGTAAATGTTAAATAACACATTTTAATTGAAATTGAGCTTTCATCATTGTTTGCTTTTCAAGTTGATAAATCAACAGACGTGAGTTCGTGTTCGCAGTTGCTGGTCTGTGTCTATATTCATGCGGATGATAGCAAAGAAGAGTTGCTCTTTTGTGAAGATAGCATGGAGAAAATAAATACCTTTTTTGAAACTGGATGATTAAAATGGGTTAGAACGGCTGTGGGGGTTTGTACGGATGGTGCGCCATCTATTTTTAGCTCAAAATCGGGCTTTCAGAAAACAGAAAAGATTTAGCTCCCTAACCACTGCCCTAACCAATCGACATCTAGAGTCCATTGCTAGTATAAGTCGTAAATTATATAAAATCTGGAACCTTCAAAGAACTGAGCAAAAACATTAATATAGATCACGAGGTTCTGCTCTTCTACACTACAGTACGCTGGAAAAATGTTGTTAATTGTGTTTTTGAATAGAAATCTGAAATCAAATTGTTCTTGGAAGTGCAAAGGAAACAAGACTTTTTGGTATACTTAAAACGACAGAGTGGTTGGAGAGAGTATCATACCTAGCAGATGTGTTCGAACATCAAGATAAGCTTAACCTGAAGCTTCAGGGAAAATGAACGAATATTATAACTTTCCATGCTAATCTCGGGGCTATTTTATCAAAACTGCAGAAATCGGTAAAGAAAATAAATCTTGGAAATATTGTAAATTTGAGAAACTCTGCGGTGTGGTAGATGAATCTGATTGTGAGATAATTAAAATTTTGAAAGAAGCGATTTCTGGGCATCTTGAATCTCTTGAAAAGCGAACTGCATCGCTATTTCTCTGAGCTGAAAAAAAAAGAAGAATCTGCATTTACGCATTACCCATTCTCTTCTTCCCTTGATGTTGCCAGCATTCCCGATGAATTACAAGATGAATTCTTTGATTTGCATAATGATTCCGAGTAAGATGAAAAACTGCAGACACAATTTTGGTGTAGTATTCACCATTCAAACCCAAACGTAAAATTTATTGACTTTTCGAGAATATATTTTCAACACTATTCTTCGATTAAAAACAAAATTAAGATAATTATAATGACATATGTTGGCGTTAACAAAAAAAAATTAATTAAAAAGTTAACCACGAAGATTTAGTTAATAGTATGCAATTTTACTCATGCTATTAAAACAGTTATCAAGAGTAGTTCATATTGAAAGTCTACTAGAAAATCTTATTTTAGTGCTTATTAATTTCCATACTAATTTCGGCTTTTTAATTCTATGGGGGTCGCGGGTCACTTACTTTTTATAAAAGGGGGTCGCCACTCGAAAAAGGTTGGGAACCACTGATCTAGACTGATGTTTGAAAGCAGTAAGATTGATGCTTAAGGTAAGATCTAGACTGTTTGAAAGCAGTAAGATTGATGCTTCATGTAAGACCTAGACTGATGTTTGAAAGCAGTAAGATTGATGCTTCAGGTAAGATCTAGACTGATGTTTGAAAGCAGTAAGATTGATGCTTCAGGTAAGATCTAGACTGATGTTTGAAAGCAGTAAGATTGATGCTTCAGGTAAGATCTAGACTGATGTTTGAAAGCAGTAAGATTGATGCTTCAGGTAAGATCTAGACTGATGTTTGAAAGCAGTAAGATTGATGCTTAAGGTAAGATCTAGACTGATGTTTGAAAGCAGTAAGATTGATGCTTAAGGTAAGATCTAGACTGATGTTTGAAAGCAGTAAGATTGATGCTTCAGGTAAGATCTAGACTGATGTTTGAAAGCAGTAAGATTGATGCTTCAGGTAAGATCTAGACTGATGTTTGAAAGCAGTAAGATTGATGCTTCAGGTAAGATCTAGACTGATGTTTGAAAGCAGTAAGATTGATGCTTCAGGTAAGATCTAGACTGATGTTTGAAAGCAGTAAGATTGATGCTTCAGGTAAGATCTAGACTGATGTTTGAAAGCAGTAAGATAGATGCTTCAGGTAAGATCTAGACTGATGTTTGAAAGCAGTAAGATTGATGCTTAAGGTAAGATCTAGACTGATGTTTGAAAGCAGTAAGGTTGATGCTTCAGGTAAGATCTAGACTGATGTTTGAAAGCAGTAAGATTGATGCTTCAGGTAAGATCTAGACTGATGTTTGAAAGCAGTAAGATTGATGCTTCAGGTAAGATCTAGACTGATGTTTGAAAGCAGTAAGATTGATGCTTCAGGTAAGATCTAGACTGATGTTTGAAAGCAGTAAGATTGATGCTTCAGGTAAGATCTAGACTGATGTTTGAAAGCAGTAAGATTGATGCTTCAGGTAAGATCTAGACTGATGTTTGAAAGCAGTAAGATTGATGCTTCAGGTAAGATCTAGACTGATGTTTGAAAGCAGTAAGATTGATGCTTCAGGTAAGATCTAGACTGATGTTTGAAAGCAGTAAGATAGATGCTTCAGGTAAGATCTAGACTGATGTTTGAAAGCAGTAAGATTGATGCTTCAGGTAAGATCTAGACTGATGTTTGAAAGCAGTAAGATTGATGCTTCAGGTAAGATCTAGACTGATGTTTGAAAGCAGTAAGATTGATGCTTAAGGTAAGATCTAGACTGATGTTTGAAAGCAGTAAGATTGATGCTTAAGGTAAGATCTAGACTGATGTTTGAAAGCAGTAAGATTGAAGTGAGGCAAACTTTGCAGGAGTAAACCTTATGTTGTTTCAGTCTGCCGGTCATGGTGTTGGTCCACGGCGTTAACGACTACGTGTCTCCCATGTCAGCCAGTACCAGCTTTGGACAGGCCTTAAGTGAGATCTCAGCCAACGTTCAGGTCAAGCTGATCCCAGAGTGTAACCACTACCAAGTCTGTCTGGACCTCATGGATGCCAACTCCACCTTCTACAGCCATGTCATGGGTACCATCATGGAAACCATCCGGGCAGTTTCTTGACATGGACACAACCTTGTTACCATCATGGAAACCATCCGGGCAGTTTCTTGATATTGTCTCCTTACTTTACAGTTTGTGTCATTTCATTTGGCACTTGGCTTTTGTGAAGGATGTATAAAACTTTTTTAGACATTTTTATCAGTGTGTTTATTGATGATTTGTGTGTACTGACTTGACTGTTGTAATGTAGAATCTGGTATGTATCCTGTCCCCCGTTGTAATGTAGAATCTGGTATGTATCCTGTCCCCCGTTGTAATGTAGAATCTGGTATGTATCCTGTCCCCCGTTGTAATGTAGAATCTGGTATGTATCCTGTCCCCCGTTGTAATGTAGAATCTGGTATGTATCCTGTCCCCCGTTGTAATGTAGAATCTGGTATGTATCCTGTCCCCTGTTGTTACACAAAATCTGGAATCTATTCAGCTTGCCCTGATCAACCCTAATTGTCTTGCCCTGATCAACCCTAATTGTCTTGCCCTGATCAACCCTAATTGTCTTGCCCTGATCAACCCTAATTGTCTTGCCCTGATCAACCCTAATTGTCTTGCCCTGATCAACCCTAATTGTCTTGCCCTGATCCAGCCTAATTGTCTTGCCCTGATCAACCCTAATTGTCAACAGCTTGCCCTGATCAACCCTAATTGTCTTGCCCTGATCAACCCTAATTGTCTTGCCCTGATCAACCGTAATTGTCTTGCCCTGATCAACCCTAATTGTCTTGCCCTGATCAACCCTAATTGTCTTGCCCTGATCAACCGTAATTGTCTTGCCCTGATCAACCCTAATTGTCTTGCCCTGATCAACCCTAATTGTCTTGCCCTGATCAACCGTAATTGTCTTTCCCTGATCAACCCTAATTGTCTTGCCCTGATCAACCCTAATTGTCTTGCCCTGATCAACCGTAATTGTCTTGCCCTGATCAACCCTAATTGTCTTGCCCTGATCAACCCTAATTGTCTTGCCCTGATCAACCCTAATTGTCTTGCCCTGATCAACCCTAATTGTCTTGCCCTGATCAACTCTAATTGTCTTGCCCTGATCAACCCTAATTGTCTTGCCCTGATCAACCCTAATTGTCTTGCCCTGATCAACCCTAATTGTCTTGCCCTGATCAACCCTAATTGTCTTGCCCTGATCAACCCTAATTGTCTTGCCCTGATCAACCCTAATTGTCTTGCCCTGATCAACCCTAATTGTCTTGCCCTGATCAACCCTAATTGTCTTGCCCTGATCCAGCCTAATTGTCTTGCCCTGATCAACCCTAATTGTCAACAGCTTGCCCTGATCAACCCTAATTGTCTTGCCCTGATCAACCCTAATTGTCTTGCCCTGATCAACCCTAATTGTCTTGCCCTGATCAACCCTAATTGTCTTGCCCTGATCAACCCTAATTGTCTTGCCCTGATCAACCCTAATTGTCTTGCCCTGATCAACCCTAATTGTCTTGCCCTGATCAACCCTAATTGTCTTGCCCTGATCAACCGTAATTGTCTTGCCCTGATCAACCCTAATTGTCTTGCCCTGATCAACCCTAATTGTCTTGCCCTGATCAACCCTAATTGTCTTGCCCTGATCAACCCTAATTGTCTTGCCCTGATCAACCCTAATTGTCTTGCCCTGATCAACCCTAATTGTCTTGCCCTGATCAACCCTAATTGTCTTGCCCTGATCAACCCTAATTGTCTTGCCCTGATCAACCCTAATTGTCTTGCCCTGATCAACCCTAATTGTCTTGCCCTGATCAACTCTAATTGTCTTGCCCTGATCAACCCTAATTGTCTTGCCCTGATCAACCCTAATTGTCTTGCCCTGATCAACCCTAATTGTCTTGCCCTGATCAACCCTAATTGTCTTGCCCTGATCAACTCTAATTGTCTTGCCCTGATCAACCCTAATTGTCTTGCCCTGATCAACCCTAATTGTCTTGCCCTGATCAACCCTAATTGTCTTGCCCTGATCAACCCTAATTGTCTTGCCCTGATCAACCCTAATTGTCTTGCCCTGATCAACCCTAATTGTCTTGCCCTGATCAACCCTAATTGTCTTGCCCTGATCAACCCTAATTGTCTTGCCCTGATCAACCCTAATTGTCTTGCCCTGATCCAGCCTAATTGTCTTGCCCTGATCAACCCTAATTGTCAACAGCTTGCCCTGATCAACCCTAATTGTCTTGCCCTGATCAACCCTAATTGTCTTGCCCTGATCCAGCCTAATTGTCTTGCCCTGATCAACCCTAATTGTCAACAGCTTGCCCTGATCAACCCTAATTGTCTTGCCCTGATCAACCCTAATTGTCTTGCCCTGATCAACCCTAATTGTCTTGCCCTGATCAACCCTAATTGTCTTGCCCTGATCAACCGTAATTGTCTTGCCCTGATCAACCCTAATTGTCTTGCCCTGATCAACCCTAATTGTCTTGCCCTGATCAACCCTAATTGTCTTGCCCTGATCAACCCTAATTGTCTTGCCCTGATCAACCCTAATTGTCTTGCCCTGATCAACCCTAATTGTCTTGCCCTGATCAACCCTAATTGTCTTGCCCTGATCAACCCTAATTGTCTTGCCCTGATCAACCCTAATTGTCTTGCCCTGATCAACCCTAATTGTCTTGCCCTGATCAACCCTAATTGTCTTGCCCTGATCAACCCTAATTGTCTTGCCCTGATCAACCCTAATTGTCTTGCCCTGATCAACCCTAATTGTCTTGCCCTGATCAACCCTAATTGTCTTGCCCTGATCAACCCTAATTGTCTTGCCCTGATCAACCCTAATTGTCTTGCCCTGATCAACCCTAATTGTCTTGCCCTGATCCAGCCTAATTGTCTTGCCCTGATCAACCCTAATTGTCAACAGCTTGCCCTGATCAACCCTAATTGTCTTGCCCTGATCAACCCTAATTGTCTTGCCCTGATCAACCCTAATTGTCAACAGCTTGCCCTGATCAACCCTAATTGTCTTGCCCTGATCAACCCTAATTGTCTTGCCCTGATCAACCGTAATTGTCTTGCCCTGATCAACCCTAATTGTCTTGCCCTGATCAACCCTAATTGTCTTGCCCTGATCAACCCTAATTGTCTTGCCCTGATCAACCCTAATTGTCTTGCCCTGATCAACCCTAATTGTCTTGCCCTGATCAACCCTAATTGTCTTGCCCTGATCAACCGTAATTGTCTTGCCCTGATCAACCCTAATTGTCTTGCCCTGATCAACCCTAATTGTCTTGCCCTGATCAACCCTAATTGTCTTGCCCTGATCAACCCTAATTGTCTTGCCCTGATCAACCCTAATTGTCTTGCCCTGATCAACCCTAATTGTCTTGCCCTGATCAACCCTAATTGTCTTGCCCTGATCAACCCTAATTGTCTTGCCCTGATCAACCACAGCTTGAGAATACACAAGAACAAACAGCAATTTTTCTTACTTATTTGTTGTTACTTGACTTAATCAATGATTTTACAGTCAGAAAAATAACACCAGCAGAATTGAATAGAATTGGACGTTTATTTACATAAAATACAGGCTTGTACAAATGAAAAAGTGGTAAGAGGTAGAAGTAGCATCACTAGGTCAGTGACCCCCCCCCCCTCCCCCGTGTAAGAGCTCCAGGGTTCACCGGTCACCCCTTCCCCCTCCCCCTTGCTCTATGTTGCGTCACCACCCTTGGGTAGTGTCACCCCAATCTGCATGCTCTAACCCGCCTGATGGCGCTACTTTGAGGTAGTAAACAGATGATGAGTTAGCGAAGCAATTGACAGCATCATATATTGGTTGGCCAAATCACATGGTGACTCGTGGCTATCCTGAGCTTGTTTCTCTTGGCCCACATTGAGACAAGCTAAATATAGAACTAGAACATAAGTGAACTTTAAGTGCAGTAACTGCAGGCTAACAGTTTCACGCCGGCATTCAAGTTTTTTGCCGGCATCCAATTTCTTTGCCGGTTACCGGCATGCGCACGACTCGACCGTCATTCCCGGATAATTTTTGAGCACAACATTTCTGTCTTGGTCGAAGTAAAGCAGGGTGGCGGAGCTCATGACGTCAGGGACACAACATGGCGCCGGCAGCTTGTCGTAGAGGCCGATGGCGTGGACAATGCTCTGTATCGTGGCGTGGTTGCTGGGACGTAGGCGCTAAAGACAGAAACAAATGGGCAGATTTATATGGCATCTTAACGGTTTATTTATGGCGAGCCATTTTACAAGCTCTATGAAGCACCATAGCTGTAACTAAAGGTGATAAAACATACGTGAAGTTTTTCATGGTTTATATTAACAGTTTCAACCGTTTGAAAGCTCTATTAGTATTACCATTTTACATCTTTAAGTCGTGAATTTAAATAATGGTAATTATATATATATACTAGCGTACCCGACCCCCGCGCGTTGCCGCGGGGATAGAAGAAAGTTTGACGAAATATATTAGGATGTCACCAACGCGTTATCAATTATAATTATATGTTCTTAGACGCGTGACCTTCTTTTCTAAAAGTGAGTTATTTAAATGTAAACAATGCCTGCGCTTGGATCATAAATATCAGGACACGGGTGTACCTCTACTACCGCATGAAAACCTTGAGTGTACATTAATCACTCACCGAAATAATATGGTAGAACACACTTCGGTGACCGCCCATGTGTCAGAGCGTAGAGATGCAGATTTCATCATTCGCTAAAGTGACACAAATGAACAGGATTTTTTTCTTTAACAGGTAAAAAAATTATTTGACGTGTTTTAAATATCGTTGTGACTGATGCAATATGCTAGCGTTACTAATGGTCTATTATTAGATGTTCAATCTCAATTTCTGACTGGATTGTCTAATAATAGATGCTTATTGCATCATTCGCAAAGTGACGAAACTCTACAGTAGGCTCCTCATATTCAAAAAGTTATTTTTTCATCTTTCGCAAGGTGACGAAACTGTACAGAAGGATTTCCTCGCGTTACAAAGTTATTTTTAGAAGCCTGGTGTAGTTTTACCGCTGAGTATAGTAGTACCCCTTACTCACTATGCAGGACGCTCGATTAATGGATGCCAAGTGCCAACATAGTCGCTCTAAAACTCTGGGCGCCAAACCGTGTATTGACGAAAGTTGTACCCAAAAGTTGTACCCCCAAAGGCTCATGGCTATCG